CTAGTTTAAATATAATACATAAATTTACGTATTTTAGTATTGTTTGAGTTATCTGGTTATGAAACATATTTATTTTTGTTTTATTTATTCCAGGAAGACATTTTGAATGCGCTCAATAACAATGACAAAAATATCAAACAGTAAGTGTACTAAAACAAAGCTGTTTCCTATTGTTTGTTTTGTACATGCCGCCGAAGCATGGGCCTGCGGACGGCAAGTACGGGTACTTCGCCGCCCGACCAGAACCAAACAGGAGCGTGTGGCGCGTCGAGTTCCACGTGCTCTTTAAAAGGCCATCAGACCACCACACATGGGGCCTAATAGGGCTGATGCCGATACGGAGCCGCTGAAAACTTAACGGGTTACCGGGGTTCCGGCTCAAAGTGCAGGAGTAGGAACGGGGTGGTTTTTTAGTCAATAAGAGTTTGACCTCTCTCCCGCCTTACCCAGGTAGGAGATATCATTCGATGATTTACCCTCCTTAAAATAATTGTTTGTAGATTGTATATTATTTTTGTGCTACGAGTACCTACGGCGTAGCACCTACTACGAAATAAATGCTACGAGTTTCTCATAAGGCACACTTTTCCATCCGTAGACGCCATCTTTTCACAAAAAAAATATTAACGTATTATTTACAGATCTCAACCTATTGTAAGTATGATAATGATATTCACTTGGTTTTACACCATATGTTTTGTTATACTTGATTGCCCGACGTTTGATCCCTATCTTGCGTGGTGGTAAGCGACTATACAGTCTACAATGGGCACGTCGACCCATATGCAACCTATTCACTCGGACCTCGAAGACACCCGCGCCTTTCAGGAAACACAGACTCTTCGATATATAAGACCTATAACAGACCTATATTTTTTTGTATTAAAATTTGCAGGTATTAATCCAATCAGAACCTTTGAATGTTTTAAGGGCGTAAGTATTTAAAATTGCTAGTAATTTTGTTTACCCTTGTATGTATTTTAAGACTTTTTATTGTATTATAGAAATGCACTGTCTGAACATATAGCATCATTTCGATATGGTCTACCGAATAGTACAGCATTTCATAATAATGTAAGTATAAATAAAGTTAATTATTAGTATATTTTTTATATAACATAACATCACGCCTTTTATCCTGAAGGGGTAGGCAGAGGTGCACATTATGCCACTGTACAATGTAGCACCCACTTTTCACTATTTATGTTACGAGTCCCATGTAATAGGGGGTGGGCCTATTGCCATATACCGGGCACAATTCCAGACCCCGTGCTACTACTGAGAATTTTTTAAAAACCCAGTAATACTTTGCTCGGCCCGGGAATCGAACCCGGGACCCCTTGCTCGGCAGTCGCACTTGCGACCACTCGGCCAACGAGGCAGTATTTTTTTTAAATATTCAGTTGAAGAATAATTTTTAACTGTATCATAATTTTCAGGTTAGGAAAAGACGCCAAAAAAGTTCTTTGGAGTACGTATTTCAGAGGCTTAAAACTTAATATAATTTAAATTGTTTTATCAATTGCCACCAAAAAAAATCTCTCTAAAAAGGCAGTGTTTTATTCAACAAGAAAAATATAAATTTTATTAAGATACCATTTTTATTATTATTACTTTTTTTAAGGTGTAAAATATTTTAGTTTACAGTTATTTATATTTTAAGTTGTATATATTTATTTAACTCGAAAAATTACTATTTATTTATTTAAGTTTGTTGATTGATTTTCAATAAACAAAATACTGATCAAAATAGTCAACAATCATATTTCTTGTTATACTGCATAATGTGTTTTTATTTTCAGCCATGTAAACTATGAAAACCATGTAAGTATATGTTTATTGACTTAAAAAATATTTACTGAGACTCCTGTATACACAACCCAAAATATATGATTTGAAATGCAAAAAAAATGCAAATACAAATCTCTAAACTCACAACTGGTGAAGATTTTATTTATAAGAGAATATAATAGATAGAAGAGCATTTTGTTGACTACAAAAATCAACCACCACCAGGCGAAATAGAGGTCAAACGTCGGTCCATCAAATATAGAAAAAAAACAGTCAATAACCTATTAGAAACGTCAGGACCTCAAATACTATAAACTCTTTTTCACCTTCAAAGGACTCTGACTACATGCATAGCAGAAAGTCTGGAAGTAGTAGCAAGATCAAGGTTAATGAAGACACGGACGAGCAAGAAACTTCTGAGGAAGAGGAATTAGAAAAAAATCCTGGCAATCCATTCACCATCCATAAGAATAAATACAAACAAAATTGGCCGTATAATCATTATGTGAGTTAACGATTCTTTTTGCATTTTTAAATTAAAAATAACAAAACAAAAGAGTCATAATTGTGACTGGTTAAAGGAAACATCAAACAACAGACATGTGATACATATTATTATCATTCAGAAGTACTCAATAACAGTGATCAATAACAACAGAGCAAAAATGAATGTGATAAGCAGAAAATTTGTCAGTCACAATTTAATCAGTACACAAGGAAACATTAGTTATACTATGTATCATCAGTAACAAGAGGTCGAACGTCGGCCCATTTAAAAAAAAATGGTTTTTCTAGGCCAGTTTTATTAGGACCATAAAAATCCTTATAAAACTTATTGTCGTTGTTGAAAAAAGATCTTGTTGTTGTGTTTTAATATTTGTTTTAACTTACCTTATTATGAAATAACTTGTAAAATGTTGATTGAACTGATAATTCATAAAATTGCTGTAATCTGGAACTCGTCAATTGTAATTTACGAATAATAATTGCATGCTTTGATTGGTGGAATATGATGAACTGCCCATTCATTTAACATCTTGCAATGCATCTAACTGTACTGTGTTCAGCAATAAAGATATTTGATTTGATTTGATTTGAAAAAGCAAGTCTTTAAAAGTTAATTACTCCTATATATGTACGTTTCATTACTAATATATAATATACTATATTGTGCTATATTTTTTTAATTAATAAGAATGTCGTGGCGGTCCGGGGTTTAAGACACCTGCTTGTCATGTATAAGGTGCGGGTTTAAAACCTACCAAAGTGACGGTACAGTTGGTACGGTGGCATGGCCATTGGTGTTACGTGTCGTGGGCGATTAATGCTCAAACCTTCTCCGTGTGAGAAGAGGCCTTTGGTCAGCAGAAGCCACTTGTAGCCTGTTGATGTTTATACTATACTTTTTAATTCAGCATTGTTTTTAGATGGACGGTGACCATATGAATATAAATCCAATGGGTCCAAAATTTGGTAATCTGGGACCTTCTGGTCCCGAACTCTTTTTCGGAAGAAAGTGGTGGTATTTTAATCAGGTATGTCAATGCGGTATTACTTCAAAGCATTAGCCGGTAAACGAGCAGACGGATCACCTGATTGTAAGCAATCGGCGGCGCCCATGAACACTTGGAACACCAGAAGCGTTACAGGTGCGTTACCGGCCTTTTGGGGATTAGGAGTTTGAGGATCGTTGGGGATTCAGGAATTGAGGAGATTGGGGAAGGGGAGGGTAATTGGGCCTCCGGTAACTTCACTCACACGACGAAACACAACACACGCCGTGGTATCACTCCGGTCGAGCCGGTCCATTCGTGCCGAAGATGGCTCTCCCACACTTCTTTTTTCATATTCAGATCATACTATTGAAATGTCACTAAATAAAGTATAGTTTGTCGGTCCGTCAGTGGAGCTTGGCGGTCGTTCGTGTAGATTCGAATGGATACGAACAAAATTCATCGTTATTCTTTATAAAAAATAAGAACTCTAATGATATCTTCAGATTTATTTCGTTGCTCCGAGTTTGTCAGTTTTAAACCGATCAGGTTGAAATTTGGTATGCAGATAGATGTTATAACGTAAGCATCTTCTAAGAAAGAATTTTGATCATTTAATTTTTCACTCTCAAGAGGGTAAAATAGGGGGTGAAAGTTGCTCCGAGGGACCTACATAAAATTGTTTTAAGAAGTTGTGGTAGGCTAGTTTCATTAAAAAAGAGTATAGTTGACCTTCAAAATGAAACACGCTATTTTTGTAACGTTTACACGTGACCCACGTGTGTGAATTTTAAAACAAAACTTTCCTTGTATCCGGAATTCCCGTTTGCAATTTTTCGAACAATGTTTTTCTATTTTAGTTTAGAAACTGTTACAATGTAATTTAGTATTTCTAGACTGTAGGTAATATATTAGAAAGGATCATGTTGGTAAAACACCAGGAATGACACAAAACTGAATACTGCTATAATACTTATAAATATTCCTCAAATCAATATAATGGTTCTATCCTATCACTCAGGTGGCTGAGTTTTAATTGGTATCAACACAAAATTAATAAATAACACAAATGCAGGTTTGCTCTGCAGTGGGACGATCACGGCTATAAATAAAATCAACATAATGTAGAATAAAAACAAAAACCTATCACATATGTCTTTTACTGTAAAGGCGATATACTCAAAAACTATAACAGATATTTTTACTTTCCAATCAATAGGTAGTGAAAATTAGTACAGTGGCCAGCACATTAACCTACTCTAATGTTAGTCTATTAGACCACCACGGATGGGTCCCAATAGAGCTAAATGCCGCGGAGAACTTAACGGGTTGCCGGGGCTTGGGCTCGGTAGGGCAGGAGTAGAAACGGGGTGGTTTTTAGTCAGTAAGAGTCTGACACTCTCTCGCACCTGACTCAGGCGGGAGAAGTCATTCGATGATTTTCCACCCTTAAAAAACTCTAATGTTTGTGTCATTATTATTCGACTTTACTTGATAATAACGAAATTTGACAGAACTTGACAATTGACCTTCTGCCCACAGTGCAAGTGCGTAGTTTAATATTATTTTGACTACATGATTAAGATCTAAAGCGGAAAGCTAGCATGCATGCATTTACCACATTTTCCATAAAAGTGAATTTTAAAATTTTAAGCTTCAAACGTGTCATTAAGATGACCTTCACCTGTTTGTCCTATATACTGGCGGTAGCTCTTATCCCACCCTCTCCCGGTGCAATATCCGTTCTGAGCGACAATACCGTGCAGTTCCCATACCAAAATCTTCTGCAGATTTATATTTTCTGTGGTAAAGGAAAGTAAACTGTAATAAGAACGTGATTAAGTAAAAATTGTATTGTGTTTCCGTTACCCTAGTTTTGAAAATTGTACTTATTTTTGTTTAAAAATATTTTAATTAGTTCTAATTTTTTTATTCCTTTACAGGACGACTACAAGCCGATGGGTTAATTATATTTCACGAAGATTGTTACTTTATGTAATTTAGATAAAATATGTAATTATATTTAATTTTATTAACGTAAAATTTTCATTTCATTTTAAATTTACAACGTTTAGATATATTACGCCCCTATTCAAATAAAAACTTTAATGATTCAGAGTCAATAAGTATCAATGCCACAACCCCTCATTAACAAGGAAGAATTAGAAAGGAATAAATTACCGAAGAAACAATACACAATACCAATCATAAGAAGTCAAGGGTAACTGAACAATGAACTTGAGTTATTTGAGGGTTATGATGGGCCTAAAACGATTTCCTTGCTCCAGGAAGGTTCGAGAAAATTCGACAGTAATTGATAGGGGCCAGGATCATAAATACCGAACCAAAAACTAAGGAATATGATGAACCAGTTTTGCCCGGAGCTCTGATTGCGTAATCAATATTTTCTTAGAGTCGAATTTCCCATGGGAGCTATTAGGATAGAAAGGTGAAATTTAGACATTTGTAGGTTAGGTAGGTCATGTAATTTTTTGCTCTATTTTATTCTACTGGTATTAATATTGTGTGTAATTTTTTCGTATTTTATTTTTCTATTATATTTATCGTCGACAATCACACAAGTCTCCCACTGGAGTAAACATAGACAGTTAAATAAAGTCTGGTCTTAGCGTTCATGGTCACATACCTCTACAATTGTATTTTTATACTCTTTTCAAACATTTATTAAATAAACTTTTAGTAACAATTATATGGCTATCTAAATAAATAAACAGACTTTAATTTAATTCTACAAACACATCACTAGAAGTTAATTTATAACAACAATATATTATTATTTTCAAAAGTTACACTAGCTCAATAACCTAAACATGTCTGAAAAACGACTTGTATTTCCTGAACAGTGAGAGTTTCAGGTTTATCGTTTGCAACAGTGTGGAAACGCTGAATGGTTTTGACACCCACACTGCTCTTGTCAAACTTCCTAGCTTTGGTTACGTCTAAAACAACACGATGCAATAACTACGTGAATGTGCTATGAAATGGGGAGAAGGTTTAAATAACAATAGATAGATTTATCAAGCTGCATGTCAGACGAGGGGTTTGATAAAACTTTTAATAATAATATGTGCTGTATTTGTGTATGTTTTGTTTTATTTTTGTACTCGTGTGTTACTACTAACATAGTTTTTTAAGTTTGTACTGTTTACTAACACTCTATGGCCTCTGGGCCGACCTGGGCCTGAAAATAGAAGATTTTTATTTTACTTATTTAATTTAAAGAGTTTTGAATTAATACTTTGTATTGAGGTAATAATATGGTCACAACTATAAATTGCCAGAAATGCAAGTGGAGACGCTGCCTGGCAGAAGTTATTAGTTAACAAACTTGCTTAAGTATCTCTTTGTAGAGCAAATACGTAGTTAAGGGTATGATCATTATGATAATTATGAAATTCATAATCATATTAATTCAAAATGAATCCTACTGAATAAAATAAAGAAAATGGTTGACAATATCGTACTAGTCAGATGACCTCAATCGATATTTAAATACAGTATATTTTAAACTATGAATCTAACCTAAAATAGAAGTAAAGTTTAGGCACGGATTCATAACTCTACGACATAGTATGACCCAAGTCAAGGACGACACGAAGCGATGTTACACAAAAAATAATTCCTTTGAATAACAATATTAATTATTACATGTTAAATACTCTATTTACATCTTCGACTATACAGACCTATTATCTGACAATCTTTGCTTCACAGTGGCATGTTCCCAATTAGGTACTATTAGGATTCCTTTTGATTGATAATAATGCCTATGTAAGGATCTAAACAGACGAACCGCATCTGAACTGAAAATTGCAGTTTGAACGCAGTTGACACGACTGCAATAGAATTGCAATTGGACTGCTCGTTTGGTTTGCAACTGTTTAGTCATGACTGCAATAGAACTGCAATCGGACTGCACGTTTAATTTGCAGTTCAATTGGAATCGTGACACGACTGCATTCAAACTGCATTCGAACTGCAATTTGCAGTTGGATGGTATTTGAAATGCGGTCCTTCTGTCTAAGCCTAATACCAAAATCCACCTATTAGGTAGGTTTTATTGCAAAAAGTGTAAATAGTAAAGTTTACTACTTTCAGCTGGACGTTGAACCACCTCTACATAAGAAAATTTGTCATAATCTTGGTAGATAGAGCGCACTGCTACCCCACCTTTTTTGAAATAGATATAATCTGCACCGCGTTTTAAACTTATATTCAATTTTCTCCAAGGAAGTCAGTAACCCTCTTACAAAAAAAAACACTTTAAAATAATTAAGATTTATTTAAAATGAAAATAGCTAACGAGTTTACTTGCACCAAACCTGAACATTGACACATCCGCTGTCGTCATTAACAGAAGCCAGTGTGCCACTTTTAAATTAGCTCGGCTTAGAAAAGAGGTGCAAAATAAAGATTTTAATAGACTTCTTGGTGATTTTTTGTGAGTTTTATATTTGTATTCAAGGACGTTGTAAAAGAAGCGGATGTAATGTCACTTAGAAATGAAAGCACCAAAATGTCAGTGGTTTATTTATGTGTGCGTGTGTAATGGTTACCACGTTACCAGACTTAAGACAATGATAGATGTCCTTCGTGTCAATGTGTGTATGTTCTGCCTGTAAGTCTGTAGTACCCAGGTGCCACAGCCGTTGTTTCAAGATGTGGTCGCCTTTTTTCAACATCCTTGTTTGCATTATGTCTGTAGTTTCTCAAGAGAACTAAACTTATGAAGTACTTTGTACCTTTTGTTACGTACAGTGACCCATTATCCAAATCCCTGCTCCTCAAATTCAGACAAACGACGGATTTTGAAATCGAAAAGACTTGAATTTATCTGGCGAAATATTATTAGGTAGTATAAGTGGCTTGTGTCGTGGTGGCCCGGAGGTTTAAGACACCCGCTTCTCATGCATGAGAGTGGAGGTTCGAAACCTACCAACGGCAAGTACCAATGTGACTTTTTCCGAGTTATATACTTTCTAAGATTATTCAGACACCACTGACTAACGGTGAAGGAAAACATCGTGGGGAAACCTGGGCTTATAATTTCTAATTATAAGTTTGAAATCGCCAACCCGCATTGAGCAAGTGTGGTGATTAATGTTCAAACCTTCTCCGTGTGAAAAGAGGCTGTGCTCAGCAGTGGGCATTAAAGGCTGTTGATATGTGATAAGTGGCCTGAATCTAAACGTATCTCATAACGTAAATGTTAACGTACAATTTCAATTGTGCTAGTGAGTCACCAAAATATTGCTACTTTTAAATTAACATGATATCAGTAGACAAGTAAAACAAAAGTCATGAAATCGTTCATTGAATTGTTACTTGAAAAAATCTGTTTCATTGGAAATCTCTATCACCAGTTTATTTCTCGTCGATTCCTTTTTATATTTTTTATAATTTATAAATGCCTCAATAACTACATGTCCCTCAATATGTATGTAAAGTCTTACTATGCATGTTAATGCGTCAAAACGCAGAAGCAATTTGTGTAGGAGCATGTTGTTCGTGGTCTGAATGTATTAGCCCGAAGTACCACCTCAAAGAGAGTCCGTTCGTGCATTCTACCCGTACGCCAGATGGCGTTCCTGGCGTTGCGTGGCCAGATGGCCAGCCTTTTAGGAACTAAGTTTATACTTTGCGGAATAATTTACATAAATACCATAAATAACGATATGGAAAGTTTTAATGTCTTGGACCAGTTAGAAAATAAATCAGTATAGTGTTTTAAAGTTTATATTATTTAGTCACTGATTAAAAATGTCTTCATAATCCAGACTTCTAACACAAAACTAAATGTAACTAACAGTTGAGTACTCCAAAGTTAGTTCAGAACGAACAATATAACAAAAAAACAACTTTATCAGATTAGTATATTGCATTTGTAGTCCCAAAATTATGTTTTATTAGACATAAAGAAACGTAATAAAAATAAACATTAAATAAATATAAACTAAATTATAAGAAAATATGGCTAAGATAACCGAAAGAACTAAAAAAAAAATACGACTAAAATTAACGTGAGAAATATAGGATATGGAAAAAAAGAGAAACTAACTTAACGCATCAAAATACAATATCTTAATCATTGTCATGAGGTAAGGTGCCCAAAAGACTAGCAGGCTGCCACGTTGGATGGCAATGCTTAACCTTTGACCAAGATAGTATCCAGCATTTTGATCACCTGAACTTCTTCTTTCTTTGTAAAGAAGATGATAATATTAACTAAAGCAGCCCCTATACATACGACACACAATATTTTTCTCTTACCTACAAAATATTTGTAATAAGAAAATCATTTATGACATTTCAATTTCATGGCAATTGCTAGAATGCTATTGAAGCACACGTCAATTATTTATCAGTTTTAACAAACAAAGTTATGGTTTGAATAATCAAATGGATTCTGCTATGGTTATTTTTATGATAATAATAGTAAGGAAAATTTATATTATTATATTATTAAACATACATGAGGTTATGCTGAGCGCTCTTAGAAGCTAAATAATTATAGCCTTTTATTTGATTTAATGAGTACTTTTATAACATTAAACGATTAAAGAAATATTAGAGTATTATTTGTGTATGTGACTTTATAGTTTATTTTTCTATAATGTAATAACTGTGATTATTATTTATTATTAAACAATGACTGTACACATGCACAATTATTGATGCGCGACTGTTTTATTGCTCCAGATTGTGATGATAATAATTATTATTTTGGCTTTATATTAAATATTATGTATCTACGGGCAAAGCAAGCGGTTTAATATGTTCTTACTACCAGAATAAGATGTTTTCTTTAAATTGAATCTCATTTGGAAACGTCTACTCTTCAGTTACAGAATGTTTTAGATTGCAACGGAATCAGCATTAGAGATCAACTACTGCAGCTTTTGGTACGTCACTATTTTAATTGAAAAATTGTCAACATCTATCTGTTATAACTTGGATATAAACCTAACGCAGTGATCAGTATGTACAAACGAGCAGCATCCTGTAAATTAGCTATTGCCAAGTATAAGGATTATAACAACTAGATTAAAAGGCAAATGATACACCGATAATCATATTTATTTTATTTATTTATTTCAACTTCATACAACAAATGTGTACAGGTGGACTTAATGCCTTGGGCGTTTTCTCCCAGTCAACCACATTTGAAGTTAGCTAAAAGTAAATGATGATATTTAATAGCTGCGTCGTTGGCCGAGTAGTCGCAAGTGCAACTGCCGGGCAAGGGGTATCGGATTCAATTCCAGGGCTGAGCAAAGTATTACTGGGTTTTTTAAAAATTCTCAGTAGTAGCACGGAGTCTGGAATTGTGCCCGGTATATGGCAGTAGGCTCACCTCTTATCACATGGGACTCATAACATAAATATTGAAAAGTGGGTGTTACATTGTACAGTGGCATAATGTACACCTCTGCCTACCCCTTCTGGGATAAAAGGCGTGATGTATGTTATGATATTTAAGTGATTACCTATAAGACTGTTTCTTTTCCTTAAATTTAAATATTATACTTTTTAACTGTAGAGAAGTAGAAGAGAACAAGAGTTTCCAGAAGAATCACAAATCTATGTGAGTAGAAATGTTTTTTTTATATCATTTAAAATGATTATGTTTGATGACATGATTCAAATATAATACATATAATTTTTTATCATTATATACATTTTTCATTTTTTTATGGCATAAGCCGGTAAACGAGCAGACGGATCACATGATGGTAAGCAATCGGCGTCGCCCATGGACACCCGGAACACCAGAAAGTTTATTAATAACTAGCTACTTCCGCGCGGTTTCACTCGCTCTGCTCGGCGCCCATTAATTGTAGCGTTATATTTTATAGTCTATAGCCTTCCTCGATAACTGGGCTATCCAATACAGAAATAATTTTTCAAATCGGACCAGTAGTTTCGGAGATTAGCGCGTTCAAACAAACAACAAAACAAACTCTTCAGCTTTATAATATTAAGTATAGATTATGTTTTTGGCTAACGCACGTAATTGCTCGACGAGAATCTCGAATAGTTTCAAGCCATGCTAGAGGCTTATATTCATGAGCAGCATTCTGCGACGCGCGACACGGCGACTGTCTCTTTTCTACTCCTCAGTACGAGTTCCTCTCCAAAAAGTTACGTGAGTAAGCCGAAAACATAATAATAATATAGTAGGTATGCCTCACGAAGGTTTTAATATCAAATAGTTTTTGTAATCATTATTGTTATCATGAGATGTATGACCATTTTTGTGAAGTATTCTTTAATTTTTTACAGGTAAGAAGTCAAGCCAGCCCAGAAGATACTCAGGAACCTTATATCGATAAGGTACTTATAAAAAATCCTCACAGAAAACCGACGTGAAGCAACGCTTGCGTTGTGTTTCTTCGTGTAAGTGAGGTTACCGGAGGCCCAATTACCTTCCCCTTCCCCAATCTCCCCAATCCCTGAATCCCCAACGATCCTCAAACTCCTAATCCCTAAAAAGCCGATGACGCATTTGTAACGCCCCTGGTGTTCCAGGTGTCCATGGGCGACGCCGATTGCTTACCATCAGGTGATCCGTCAGCTAGTTTATCGGCTTATGCCATAAAAAAAATGTTACAAACATGAAATAAACCAATGATTTCATCATTATTGTTTGAAATTTGAGTGTTCGTTTATTTTCGAAAAGGTTTTATGTATCTTTCAATTTATATAATATGTATTTATGTACGTATATATAGGTGTAAACTTGAAACTTAATTTTGAGGCAGATATCTTCAACTAATAGAACTAAAAATTTGTATATACATATGTTTGGTTTGCTTGACTTTAATTATTATAATTTTATACTATAATTTTATTCGATATCATCAGTCATAGAAATAAGTAGGTATAAAATAGCTACATACATTAATCCTACATTATATTAGGTCGCTAATCAACCAGCTTCACAAGAACGAAATGAAGATATAGTAAGTTTAGTATTTTTAATTTGTTGTTTAAATATTAAACACTGTCATAGTGGGCCGGAGGTTTATGACGCCCGCTTCTAATGCATGAGAGTGCGGCCAACGTGACTTTTCCCAGTTACATGTACTTCTAAGATTATCTAGACAAATCTATTACTGACAAACGGTGAGAAAACCTTTATAATTTCTAATTATAAGTAAAAAATCGCTAACCCGCATTGAGCAAGCGTGATTAATGCTTGAACCTTCTCCGTGAGAGAGGGCTTTGATCAGCAGTACTTATAGGCTGTTGTTGATGGTAATGATACTAATCAAATAGTGAATATCAAAGAAAAGAATAAGGCGTTACTTTGCGGAAATCCAAATGTAAACATCAATATGATAACTTTTAACCAACTTGATGGGATACTTTATTTTGTACTAGCAGCCCGTCCCGGCTTCGCACGGGGTAGACAATAATTATATTTTTGGATATTTGGATTGTTGTAGTGACATAACTACAATAGTTGGACATATGCTACCGCGGAGTTTTTGTAGACCTTATGATTTTCTTCAATATTGTTGTACATTGTATTTGTTCTATCGCTAATAGTTTCGGCAGCGCATTCGACGAAAAACATTTTCAGACTCATTTTTCTACACCTTCGGCTACATTGTTCAAATTTTACCAAGGATTCCTAATTTTTTTCAAGATGAAATGTAGCCTATGTCAAATTGGAAGAATGTAGCATTCTATTGGTGAAAGAATTTTTTAAATCGGCCTAGTATTTTTTGAGCCTATTCATTACAAACATACAAAAATAGGTACAAATCTTTCCTCTTTATGATATTAGTATAGATAGAAACCAAACAATGTCTTGTGAATTTTTTTTTTTCAGTCTCGTCCTGTTGACGATGTAATGGATGACCCACCTGATTATATTGCATATGTAAGTATAAAAACGATTGTTATCATAAAAACGATTTACAATTATTATTTTTAACCGACTTCAAAAAAGGAGGAGGTTATACGTTCGGCCGGTATGTTGCTTTTTTTTGTATGTATGTACGCGCATAACTCTGAGATGCGTGAAGCGATTTGCAAAATTCTTGTTTTGTTTGAAAGGGTATACTCCCGAGATGGTCCCATTTCCATGAAGTCAGGATCTGATGATGGGATCCTAGGGAAACCGAGGGGAACTTTCGAAAATTCTATGGGCGAGTAATGCGTCTATTATGTTTTTCAATTACGATTTTTAAACACTACAATTTGATAAGGGTCTGGAGTCGACCTGATGATAGAGCCGACAGACAGTCGAGGGAACTCCTCAATGGTTTATATTAACTACCTTGTGTTTGGGCTTCATTATGTTAAAGAAGATAGTTTGTAAAAGAACAAGACAAGTGCTGCAGTTGGACATTCATGGTTAATTTTGTTTAACAACTGTACTGCGCTTTTTAAAAAAGAAAACACAATGCCTGTTACTTGACATATTTATATTATATTATCGCTACAAGTAAGTGGTATCAGTCGTCCATCCAGTCCCTCCACCAACCTTGTCAGACATTAAATATTGTGGTACAGGGTCAAAATTATATCATTTTGAATTCCAGGATAAACCAGTAGCACGGGTGATAAAAGACTACTACAAAATAGAACAAGATAATAAAAATAAAAAAGCAATTATAGATGCTAAAATGTGAGTGTTTTACATTTTTATATGAACATTTCATAGAACAGGGAACAGCAATAACAGTTTCAAATAAATTTATTATTTAATAAAGAGTTGTTAGAGTCGATTTTTCTCTGAAAAACTATTCGTATATGTAGGCACCGTCAACCACTTTTATGATGACATTTTGTAATATTTTTTTTATACCTACTTAGTGCCAAAGAACGGGGATTGCTTGATTTCCCTGAACCAAACTACCCCCAAGAAGATGGAGTAAGTTTTTGATATAACAAAATATTTATCTACTTCATAAACTGCTAAATCTAAAAATCTACAAACTGCGAGTATGGTAAAATGGGGTGAATAGGGTTTGAGCGGCGAAAAGGGACAGAAGGGGGGTGAATCGATACTATGAAGAATTTCCTTACACCTATTCACCCCTCTTGTGTCCCTATTCACCTCTTGATCCCTATTCACCCCATTTTACGGACTTTCGTACGTCAACAATAAAATTAAAAGTGAAGCTATTTGCTCATTCCAATGTGTAGATTCCTATGGATATGGAGGTAATTGCTCCTTAAATACAATGGTATTCACTTGTGCCCTTAAACTTCCAATAAGAATTGCTATTGGTTGGACTAAGATTTATTTTTAAAAGAACAAGGAATTTTCCTAGTCGTGTATTAAGTATGTTATATTATATCTAAAAGTGCCTTTAGCCATTTAGCCAAATGCCACTTTAGCGCTTGTCTACCGAGAGAATGAAGAGAGAAACTATTAATGTATGGGGATGACACTAACAAGTGTCAAAATTTACGTCAATCCCATATATTTAGTGTTCTACTCTACAAGTAGCCAAGCGCTAAATGGCATTTGGCTACAGCTGCAGGATCGAAGAAAGTTCGAAACATGAACTGGCTTGAACATTTTTTTACTAGCTATCATTTTTAACTTCGTACCACCTCAAAATCAATGACAGTTGTTGATATTGTCTGGTACTTTAACAATTACATTCGCGGCGGTCAAACAAAACTATCACGTATCGTCGGTGTCGGTGTGATTATGGTGTGACTTACTCAATATATCCAAGTTCTTCGTATTTTATACAAAGGAATTTAGTTTTGAACAATATGGTTAAACACGCGGAATCAATACTCATTTGGTGATCATAAATTACGATACTCATAATTAATAATAATATACAGTTTTATAAGTATAAGTATTTTTCAAACTAGAAGTGCACAAAATAAAAAAAAATAAATTATAGATTTTTCAGGGTGCACAAATGCCAACGCAACCAGTTGAGGACATACGTAATGATGACCCTAGCATGGTAAAAAGCTTCTTTGGTTTTATTTGATAAATGCTACTTAACATGTTTTTTTTTATACCACGACGGTGGCAAAAAAGCACACGGCCCACCTGATGGTAAGCGGTTACCGTGGCCTATGTACGCCTGCAGCACTTGGGGCATTACATGCGTCTTGCCGACCCTTAAGACACCTATTTACTTCTTATTTGTTACTCCTTTACGTCAAAACGGCTGAAGGGATCGAGATGAAATCTGGAACAAGGATAGATTATGGTCTGGAATAACGTATGAGATACGTTACATATATTTTTATCTCACAGAAAAGCGAGCGGAGGCGCTGGCAGAAGCTAGTTTATATTATTATTTTTTATTACAGATGAACATGTTGGATCACACAAAACCAACAAGATCACACGTGGTGAGAGCAATAATAATGTATTTTTTATTTTTAAGCGATCTTGACATTTCATTTATCACTTTAAAATATAATAGAGGTATAAAAACCCTACCAAAAGCTAGTTCTGGGTAATACTACTTCAGTAATATTTGCATTTAGATAAGAACCACTGTTTTACTAAACGTTGTGTTTTCTTTTTGACGGTAACATAAACACGTTTAATTTTTTTTTTTTAATTTTATTGTATTGATAAAGAGGAACATTTTTAAATTCGCCTTCATATTTCCTAAGAAAAAAATTACGTTCTTTATAAATAAATAAAATAGTGTTAAATTATAAGGTGCTCATCATCATCTCCACAGGAAGCTGAATGTCTTTTTGAACGTAAGGGTAAGTCCTGAATATAAATTTTATTACAGCACAGAATAAATATTAGTAAACTTTGCTTTTTCTAAAATAAATAACACGGCTTAACAATGAATTATAATACAAATTTGTATTTAAATAAATAAGTACCAAATAACATATTAAGAAGTTCTAGCTATTTAACTTTATCGATATATCTAAAATTGATACGACTTGCATTTTAAAGAGTAGTTTAATTTTCATATTGCTCAATTTGGTTGCTTCAACATTTCAGGTTGCTCAAAATGGAAACGTCGCTATTCTAGAAAAAGTAACATCGAATTTGAATCTGACGTCGAATCTGTACAGAAACCGTCGGCACTCACATTTGGTCACGAAATAAATGTTCAGCCTGTTGATATTTTTCACCAGCCTTCAAATAACTTACATTTAATTGCACTAGGACATGACTACAAAATAACTTCTCAAACTGTACCACAATTACAACTCCACGAATTGAATGATAACCCCGAACTAAATTACGAAAGTCAATTAATTGATATTACAAATAATCAAAGTGCCAATGACTTAAAAACAATCGAAAAAGAGTTATTCGGAGAAGATATTCAAACTAAACCGACAACTTCGCAAGACATGGCGAATAAAGATAATGTTACATTAAATTCTTTGGAACATATTTTCGAAAAAAATCAGTTATCTAAAACAAATCAAAGTTTACAAACATCAATAAAAGTTATTGGATCTTGGGATAACCCAGTAGAAACTACCGTTAGTGATGATATTACATTAAATAAAATGCAGTATTTAAACAAACAACTATTTGAAACTAGTACGCCACAACCATCAAACGTGAATTACGAAGTAAAAAATAAACCACAATCTTTAATCCAAATACAAAATGCATTGCACTCTAACTGGAGCCGAATCACAAGTAATAAACCAATAGCAGATGTTACTCAACCAATATTAAAACGTGTAACAGAAAGAATATTGTCGATAAAATTATCACAGTCAGCCAAACTACCATTTACTGCGTCCGACTTCTTTGATAAAAAACCACAGCCAGTTCCTGGCCACTTTCAAAAAGATATCGAACCTATTTCAAGTTTGTTACAACCATTAATTCCAGAAGGAGAAACAATCAATAATGCAGAGCAAATAAAAAATCAAATAACGGTTCTTTTACAACCAAATTCTGAAGGAACTGAGTCTACAACAAGTTTTCCATCTCCAACTCAACAAGATTATTCTATTCAATCTATCGAAAAAGGGAATAGAATTTCTAATTTGCCTCAAAAAAATATTGAACCCCCCTCAAGTTTAATTCAACCCCTAACAACTGAAGAAACTGCAATTAAAGAATCAGGTCAATTATTGATTGCTACTGAAACTAATCCAATTCAATCGTTTGAAAAAGACACCGAACCTTTTTCAAGCTTATCCTATCCATTGACGACTGGAGATACTTCAATTTATGAATCACAACAAATAAAAAATCAATCAATGGTTTCATCACAGCAAACATTACAAAATTCAGAAAATGTTGAGCCTATAATAAGTTTTTCATCTCAATCACAATTTCAGAATGTTGTTACTATGGGGAATTTTCCAATTGAATCATTCGGGAAAGATGACAAAAGTAATCCTGAATTTCCTCAAAAAGATATGGAACCAATTTCAAGTTTATTTCAACCATTAGCTACTGAAAAAAGTACTGAATTAAATCAATTAATGGTTGTTACTGTAGCAAGCCCAATTCAATCGTACCAGAAGGACACGGAACCTCTTTCAAGCTTATCTAATCCATTAACAGCAGGAGATACTTTAATTTATGAATCACAGCAAATAAATAATCAATCAATGGTTCCATCAGAGCAAACATTACAAAATCCAGAAGATATTGAGCCTATAATAAGTTCGCCATACGAATCACAACTTCACAATGTTGTTACTATAGCAAATGTTCCAATTCAATCGTTCGGAGAAGATGACCAAACTATACCAGAATATTCTCAGAAAGATATTGAATCATTTTCAAGTTTATTACAACCGTTAGCTACTGAAGACACGACAATTAACGAATCAAATCAATTAATAGTTGTTACGGCACCAAACCCAATTCAATTGTACCAGAAAGACACCGAACCTTTTTCAAGCCTATCTAATCCATTGACGGGAGGAGAAGCTTTAGTTTATGAATCACAGCAAATAAATAATCAATCAATGACTCTGTCACAGCAAAATTCAGAAGGTGCTGAGCCTATGATAAGTTTTCCATCTCAACCACAATTTCAGAATGTTGTTACTATAACAAATGTTCCAATTCAATCGTTCGGAAAAGATGATCAAAGTATTCCTGAATTTTCTCAGAAAGATATGGAACCTCCTTCAAGCTTATTGCAATCTGCCACAGATGATACATCAATGAAGGTATCAGAGCAACAAAAAAATAAATCAGTGGATCTTGCACAGCAAACACTATATAATCCAGAAAGAACTGGACCTATTGGAAGTTTTCCAGACCAAACACAGTTATCCCAAAATGTTGTAACTGTTTCAAATATTCCAATTCAATCGCTGGAAAATGGTACCCAACATGTTGAAAAATTTTCTCAAATAGGCACCCAACCACTTTCGAACACATCAAATCCATTAAATATAGAAGATACTTTAATTTCTGAATCACAGCAAATAAAAAGTCAACCAGTGATTCCATTACAACAAAGCTCGAACAATATGCAAGATACAGACACTTCAAAAAATCAACCACAACAAACACTTCTTATGAATAATAATGTGGATGTAACAACTGCTACTTATGAAACATACTATTATGATGAAAATGTTCAAACTATAACCAATAATTCGAATCACAAAATCGAATTATTGACAATTTCTTCACAGAAGCCATATATTGAAGAAATTTCACCGAATTATTTAGACCATCAAACTCAAAATAAATTAACACAGGAAAACTTACCAAACACTGAAGTTGCAGTAAATAATTCAAAAGAGTTAATAGTTAAAACTGACTACCCTGCCCCGATTGTTCCACATCATCCATTTGTAAAACAATCTGAGAATGAACTTTACTTGGTAACAGAAAGTGCACCTCTTATAAATTATCCCCATGGATCAACAAATGATAGTCGTGTACCGCAAAAAATAGATAATTTAAAAGCTGTTGTTGATTCTACAATTTTTCCTCAAAATGTATTTGACCACAAAGTAGTTCATATTCCAAAATTTCCATATGATCCATTTAGTAATGATACAACGTTATCTGAAATACCACAAAAATATATTGAACCTCGCGAAATATATGCAGTTAAAGATAACTTACCGATTGAATTTGTACCAATATCTAATAACCCTGTAGAATTTAAAGACCAACTAGAATATACAACGTATTTTCCAAAAGCAATGTTAGATAACGTAGATAGTTTGAATCATGATGCATTTGACAGAGAAAATGCGGTGAAGCTTCTTAGCAATCAAACACAAAACCAAATTCTTAACGAACCTCTAGTACCAGAAAGAGAAAATATTTTATTGGATGATTCGAGTAATAAGAGGATGAAAGTAGTTCAAAATCCAATACAAAATGGGCAAGAAGTAGAAAACGAAAGAAACATGCAAATAGGAGAAACATATCCTCATCAAAACTTTGACGAAAAGAAAAATTTTGAAGTAATTGAAAAGAATGTTGACTCGGATCAGACTTTTATGCCTAAAATTTGGCCAGAACCTTATTTACAACAACTGAGCACCACTAAAAAAGTTCAACGTCAGCCTAATTCAAAAGTATCAGAAGGTCATCCAGAGGTTAACGCAAATTTCCCTTATAAAACGTTTGAAACTAATGTTAATTCTGGATATATACCACAAGGACAATTTTATAACGATAAAGAAGTGACAGCGCAACAGACAGTGGTTGCACAATTTGCACCATTAGCCAATCATCAACCGTCATTTAACGGAAATTCTAAGACTACTTATTCTGAGTATAATAAACCACAACAACAGTTTCAAAATAATATTAAGATGATAGCGCCACAAACAGTGGTTTCAGAATTTACGCCATCAAGCAGTAATCAAACGTCATTTAACGAAAATTCTAACACCGCTTATTCTGAGTATAATAAGCCACAACAACAGTACCAAAATACTAATGAGATGTTAGCGGCACAACCAGTTAATTCAGAATTTACGCCATCAAGCAGTAATCAAACGTTATTTAATGGAAATTCTGAGACGGCATATTCTGAATATAATAAGGCACAAAAACCGTTTCAAAATGACAATGGGATGACCGCGCCACAGGCAGTTAATTCAGAATTTACACCATCTCATAGTAATCAACAGTCGATTAACGGAAATTCTAACATCGCTTATTCGGAGTATAATAAGCCACAACAACAGTTCCAAAATGATAATGAGATGACAGCGCCACATATAATTGATTCAAAATTTACACCATCTAATAGTAATCAACAGTCAATTAACGGAAATTCTAACACCGCTTATTCTGAGTATAATAAGCCACAACAACAGTACCAAAATACTAATGAGATGATAGCACCACAGACAGTTGATTCAGAATTTACGCCATCAAGCAGTAATCAAACGTCATTTAACGGAAATTCTAACCCCGCTTATTCTGAGAATAATAAGCCACAACAACAGTTCCAAAATACTAATAAGATGACAGCGCCACAGATAATTGATCCAGAATTTATACCATCAATCAGTAATCAAACGTCATTTAACAAAAATTCTAACACCGCTTATTCTGGGTATAATAAACCACAACAACAGTTCCAAAATGATAATGAGATGACACTGACAGTGCCACAGATAATTGATTCAGAACTTACGTCATCAAGCAGTAATCAAACGTCATTTAACGGAAATTCTAACCCCGCTTATTCTGAGAATAATAAGCCACAACAACAGTTCCAAAATACTAATAAGATGACAGCGCCACAGATAATTGATCCAGAATTTATACCATCAATCAGTAATCAAACGTCATTTAACAAAAATTCTAACACCGCTTATTCTGGGTATAATAAACCACAACAACAGTTCCAAAATGATAATGAGATGACACTGACAGTGCCACAGATAATTGATTCAGAACTTACGTCATCAAGCAGTAATCAAACGTCATTTAACGGAAATTCTAACCCCGCTTATTCTGAGAATAATAAGCCACAACAACAGTTCCAAAATACTAATAAGATGACAGCGCCACAGATAATTGATCCAGAATTTATACCATCAATCAGTAATCAAACGTCATTTAACAAAAATTCTAACACCGCTTATTCTGGGTATAATAAACCACAACAACAGTTCCAAAATGATAATGAGATGACAGCGCCACAACCAGTTAATTCAGAATTTACGCCATCAAGCAGTAATCTACCACTGTATGACGGATATTCTAAAATCGCTTTCTCTGAATATAAGAAGCCACAACAACAAATTTATAATGATAATAAGGTGACCGCGTCACAAACCATCGACGCACAATATGCACTTGCAAACGGAAATGCTAATATCGGTTATTCTGGGTATAAAAAGCCACAACAAAAAATTATTAACGATATTAAGGCAATAGCGCCACAAGCGGTTGTTTCACAGTTTGCACCATCAACCAGACATCCGCCATTTTTTAACGAAGATTCGAAGTTGGCTTACCCTGTACATAATAATCTAGAACAGCAATACCATAACGATAATAAGATGATAGCGCCACAGAAAGTTCGTTCACAATTTGCACCATTACCTACTCATCAATCATCGTTTAACGGGAATTCTAACATCGCTTATTCTGGATATAATAAGCCACAACAGCAATTCCATAACGATATTAATATGGTAGCGCCACAGGCAATTGTTGCACAATTTGCACCTTTATCCAATCATCGACCAACTCTTAACGGGAATTCTAATTTCGCGTACACTGAATTTAATAAGCCACCTAAGCAATTCTATAATGATGATAAGACAATAATACCACAGACAAGTAATTCGCAATTTGCACCATCGGTTAATGGGAATTCTAAGTCCATAACAAAATTAAATGATCAGACACTCCAACAAGAGCGTCAGCCATTAAATTATGTTCCACTAGTATTTGACAGACAAGACAAAAAAGAATACTTCCCTCAAGAGACATTTGGTGGACCTGCGGATTTTGTTCCTATTTCATATCAAATGCCAACTAGGCCAGGAATCAATTTTAATAATAATTTAAGGAATATTTTACGCACCCAACAAACGAATGACATACAAAGTAAAATACAGACAGAAATCGAAGGCAGTTTACAAAAACAAATATTACATTCAACTGTTAACGATGTAATTAATTTTGCATCAAAAGCATATGAAAATGAAAATTCAAAAGAAACAGAATCCCAAATTATTGACCTTTTAGGTTTACCAGAATTAAAAGCTGGAAAACAATATACCCGACGGAATCTAGCTGACTACAGTACGTCATCAGATTCAGGCTTGTACAGAAACTCTAAAGATATTGGCGAATATTTCGTATTCAGCAAATGTGTCCTATTTATTGTTCCCAGTTTTAATTCAGATATCACGGCCAACGTAACGAAGATAAAGAGAAATTATAAATCAATGAAACATGAAGACGGAAAACAAATAATATCAACTATTTTGTGTCATAATAATCTTGGTATTGTTTTAATAAAGACTAACAAGAAGATTATGGAATTACTGCACTTGTTGATGCGTACGGGCCGCGTGATTTGCCAGTGTCGACGTAAGCAGTCACTATCGAAAATGACGTATCGACACTCAGTAAAAAAAGATCTTGCTGGTCAAATACAATATTTATAAGAAAACGAAAAAAGTATTCAAGAATTTGATGATCATCTATCTTTAAAGCTTTGATGTAGATGATAGTGTATTAAATGAACACGGTGAAAAAAATGATAGAAGACTAAAATTTTCTACCAGTCAAGTTTATAAAGGATTTTATGAAGGGCTTAAAAAGCCCTTTTCAGCCCCTTGTTCAGGACTACCAATGGGCTGAGTTTCAGATCAAAATAAACGTATTATACAATTAAAATACTTTCTTTTAGAGTCCATAATATTTATAATTATGTATGTACACATGTAAAACGCCAATTCATTTTCAGATTTATCTAATTATTTTTTACATTTTCACACAATTCTGCTACCATCACTTTATCTAGGATAAATATAACTCCTTTTTCGAAGTCAGTAATATTAAATATTATAATATTTTTATCGTCATTACCATCAGTTCCTTAGAGCCTATTCATTACCCAGATTAGCAAAGTGTTGCAATGACAGCATCTAAGCAAATTAATCATGATCAGCAAAAATCTACTTCAGTTACTTACCTAAAAATAAATAAAAGAAGTCTGTTTATTTGTGGAATATTTGCAGTATGACAGAATGCAGCAACAACCGCAGTTGTGGAAGGCCCAACAAAATCCGACGGTGAGCAATCCAACTAATAATACCTACAGAAGGTTCCTGCTGTTCAATTAAAACCATTTTCCACTACTCGGAGAAATTGGAATGGGGTGATTTATTTTCAGTAAGTGTCTGACACTTCTACACACCTCACCCAGGGCAGAAAACGACATTAATTTCATGATTGTGTCATTTAAAATAATGTGCAGATTGTGCTCAGCACTAAATCTTACTATATAGCCATCGTACTGTCATGTTCCGAGTGCATAATAATATTACTTTATTTTTTTGCGGATTTTATCCTGATAATACATATAAATCAATTGCTTTTAGTATACGACGTATGTAGGTAGTGCATGAAACGAAAAGACTTTTTATGATATTTGTATGTTTACAGTATTCACAGACACAGAAACCAGCACAACCACAGGCATTGGTTAGTAGTTTTCATATTATTATTTTATAGCATCAAATGCACAATACATCGATTTTAGTGTAAGATAATTCTCATTTCCCACTTGCACTTCGTTTTTCCTTCGCCCATTTTGTTCAAAACTGATAGATTTTGAATTTTATTTACATTATAACTTTTATGAGACACACTAAAATCATTATTATGTTTTTGGGCTTACTCACGTAATTATTTAACAAGGAACTCGACTAGTGTCAAGCCGTGCTAGAGGTTCATATTCATGAGCAGCATTCCGCGACTCGCGATAGGGCGACTGTTGCATTGCTACTGCTAATATGGCTCTTAATTAGCCGATGTCTTCGTCAAATAATTACCTGAGTAAGCCGAAAAATATAACAATTACTTTGATGAAATGAATAATTAGTTTAACTCGTTGAGTACCGCCATTATAGACACAATTAAAGAACAATAGGTTGCGGTCACCGGTGTCCTCGCGGTGTTTGACAGTTTAAATACTACCGGCCCTCTTTATTTTCAGAAATATAGGGACGTAAGTTTCTTTTTACATTCATATTATTTTATACAGTTACTAAAACCTTAACTTTTGGTATGTGGGAGCGCATATCTACGCGAGACACAATTTTTTTTATTGTGTCTCTTATACCAGCACACAAGAGGTTAATCAACAATATTTCGTTAGTTACTGTTATCAGAAAAAAAAATTGTAACCATAAGGTACATCAACCAAAAAAGCACTGTTATTTTCTTATGTTTTTTGGGAAATATTTTTAGGTGATTGATATTGATGACGTAAGAACTAAAGAGAAGGTAAGTAGTGTCTTAGATAAAAATGTAGTAGTCATAAATTCTTTGCTCGTTTTGTTTAATATTGCAAGCGAACTTGTACCATACTGCTTTGTACCATAGATATGTTTATAACCCACCTATGCGTACCTATATAAATGTCAAATATAAGGTCAAAAACAAATAGAATGTGTATACTTAAGTATCAAAACGTTCGTTTGCATTCGCGTGATTGCAGCCACAAAATTCACAACAACCAAATGCGGTAAGCAACAGTTAATACTAATTTTATTCGTCAATCATAATAATAATCAATTTAAATTAGTTATCTATCTATCGTCCTTTCTTTTGGCCGTGTTAATTATGTAGAATCGTATTAAATCCTGTAAAGGACAATCAAATAATGGATAAGGTTCATTCAGATCATGTGCTCACGAGTGGGTTACGAACTCAACGCGAACGTCGCGCAACTTACCACTACATTAACAAGTGTCATCAACGATTAAAACACTCATTTACTATTACTATTTACAGCTAAGAATAACAAAGTTTCATCTGTAACTAATTCTATTACACTTCCATTTTAACCACATAGATGGCGCAGTAGGTAACCGACTCCTAGAGCAATCACTCCTTACATCATTTGTACCCCTCATTTATTAATTAGTCAATTTAAAAATACATCCATACTAAAAAATAAATCAATTGCTACAACACCTCGTAAATATTAAAAGGTATTAACTATAATGGATCTCCCAACAGTTTCCAACATTCGGTGATTTAGTGGATGGGACCGGTCAAAATGGTAATTATAATTATAAGGTCAATCAGGCAAATATAAGTCCACGTGCCGAAGAAAAGTCTACCACCCGTCCGGTCACCCGTCCTTCATCGGTCCTATCTGTGCCTAACCAACAAAAAACACAGTTGATTTCACTACAAAATATCAGGAATGAATATAAAAGAGAAACACAAAAATTACGCTCTGAATTAGCCACGCTCCAGAAGACTATTGCGCTCTATAAAAGCAAAGTTGATAGTCTAACGAATCGTTTGGATAACTCTAAAAATACTGCAATTAATTATAATCAGGGTCCAGCAGTAAATGTGATTAATCAGCTTCAAAAAACAGTCGCCCAATTGCAAAAGAAGGTTGAAGATCAAGAGCAGGAGTCACAAATAACTGATTTGGAAATCATTAACGTTCCAGAAACTCCCAATGAAATCTTAGGTAACGTCGTTCTATCAATAGCGAGGAATTTAGGCACTAATCTTGAATTACGAGACATAGTGTTTGCAGAGCGCAAAGGATCTCTAGATGAAATGTCAGTACCACCAAATACAGAACAACTGGGACGTCCCATAGTTGTACGACTGGCGAATAGCTATATACGTGACCAGCTCGTTCGAAGTGCTCGACTGCGACAGGGTAGTAACACTACCATTTTTATAAAAGAGAGGTTGACTCAAGCTGTCAAAGATTTATTTTATCGCACTCGTGAAGCCGCCAATGCCCATAATTGGAAATTTGTCTGGACGAAACATGGAGAAATTTTCACTAAGAAGAGTGAAAATGAACCAACTCACTTCATTCACTCTGATGCTGATATCGAACGCGTTTTTAGTGAAGTTGGTACTATTGAAGATGAATTTAAGTTTGAATACTAGTTATAGTTTCGTTTATGACTGCCATCAATATATTCGTTTATGTAACATATTTGTTTTATTATTATAAACAAAAAGATAAAAATATTTAGATAGTTTTAGGATGAAAGTTTTACGAACATTCAATCCTTTTATTAAAATAACATGTAACATCTACAAAACAAAATGTGTTCAACATAATTTTTGGAATACATTATTCAGTTTGATACAAATTAACACGAGCGAACGTAATTATATTAATCATTCAAACAGGTAAAAGGGACTAGACATGTAAATCGATCGCACGATCGAAACGAAAACTTTGTAAGGATTTTAACATTGAATTTATAACATTATACGAATACTTTGTCGATTGGGTCTATAAAACTTCTACATATCCATACAATTATGAGTACCTCGTTAATTTTGAAAAGTTCTACAGTAGACATTTCATTTTAAGTTAATATAACTGGACCTCTTTATATTTCCCTTGAAGGGACTAATTTGAAAAAGATTTTTATAATAACTATTGTGAGACATAAATTAACTAAAAATGGCGGGTTACTCACGTGAATATACTGAGAAAATCTCTACTAGTTTCGAACCACAGAGAGGTTCTTCCTCATGGATGTCTGGATGTCGCGCAGCCTACTAGAGTAGGCTAGAGATTTTCTCAGTATATTCACGCGAGTAACCCGGGTTTTTAGTTAATTGACAAAGATTGTAATATAAAATGAAAGAATTTAAAATTGACATAAGCCAGGAATAAGAAAATGTTAAAATAAATAATCTCTATGTGCACATAGTGAATCACCATTGTATTTAAGGAGATAGCCGACTAACAGTGAATAATTCACTTTTACGTACGAAGCGTTTCACATCAAGATTTTGTTATCAGAACAACTAGGGAATGGGATTATTTGCCAAACATCCGTATATTTATAATTTGGGTGTTTTCTCGAGTAAATATGTTGGTCGCATATGGGTAGACATGCTCCATCGTAGGTCGCATCTTCACTAACCACTATATAAGATATTGGCCAAGATATATCTAAGTTTTAGGTACGATGTGGCTAACGTAGCCTATTGGCTAGTCGCGGAGAACCTAACGGGTAACCGGGGCTCCGGCTCGACGTGCAGGAGAAGGAACGGGGTGGTTTTTAGTCAGTAAGAGTCTGACACTCCCTCCCGCCTCACCCAGGCGGGAGCAGTCATTCGATGATTTTTCCCCCTTAAAAAAAAGCCTATTGGCTACCTCATAAAAAAGATAGTGTTCAAAGGCCGACCCATTTGTCATAAAAAATTACACGAAAAACCATTGCTTTAATAATATCCTATGTTGTTAATTACAGCAAAACACACGTAACTGGGACCCAGTTAAGTCTTTTGCGGTAAGCACCCGTTATTACTGCTTATAAGCATATTACTCGAAACATAGTACGTTTGTTTGTCCGCAAATAAATTAATTGGCGCCGTGCGCAACAATCAGTGACAATGTTTAAACAGTGAACTCATGATCAGTTTGTTTTGTGCGATTTTCGTAGCGAGTTAAGGTAAGAACAACATTTGATACCTATTTACTTTCTACAAAAATGTTCGGTTCTTTAAACTATAAACAAAGATTGGAGTCTCTTGCACTATGTAGAGGTATAATAGATTATAATAGATAAATGCCGTATCATTTGATATTTGACGTAATATTTGTTTTTTCAATTTTTGAAAAAGATGTATAAATTATTTTAGTCCTTTTATTTATATTTCTATACGTGATTAGTATATTTTTAGATGTTTGAATATAATGAATAAAAAAAAAATAAAAAAGCCACCACAGTAGTCCACCAGTAACGGGAGAAATCCAGGCTACCTGTGGTTAGGGCTTCAGAGAGAGGAATCTCCGGACAATATGCGCCATTTCCAGAAGTACTGCTTTCTGCATCAACCAAACCATCTGATGCTAGCCTACTCAGGTTTTGATCGAGGCTGTTAGCAATGACGCCATTGGCAGATACGACTATCGGCACAATATACATTGTAATTATTATTAATAAATTTGATCTCAGACACTTAACATTGTTTCCCATGTTAACTGTTAACTACAGTTTTGCTAAAAATACTCAATCTCTTCATTCCATTTCTTCTTACGTTCTTCTCTACTTATTTATTGGCATAAAATACACGAAATATTGTGGTCAGTTCAACATTTATTTTCTATGTTATTTATAGTATCTTGGACCTGATCGTCCAACAATTGGAGAGGAGGTGAGTACATTAAATACAAAGAAGTTATTCATTTTTAATACAAAATAACTTTTTCTTGACTCCTCGAGGACAAAACCCAACTTTTTTTAAAAAGTAAAATTTGAGTAATAGTTTACATAAATGAATGTGGCACTCATTGGTTTTAACATTTACATCACTTAATATCTTATAATATGTCGGAGAGGTAGGATTATGTTCTGGTTGTTCAGACATAATTTGGGCGAATATAAGTATCGCGAATATAAGGGCGAACATAAGAAAAATCGATTTGTGCGTTCTTTTTAATTACAATACCTCTATATTGTAGATAAGAAAAGTATTTAGAATCACTGAATCACTGAGATTATTGTAATCACAAGAAACAGTAACTGGGCACTAAGTGAAACGTAGAGCAGTTCCGTGACAACGTCTTCAATCGGTGGCAACTCGAACTAAAGTGAACTCCGCTCTCTCGACTCCGAACTCTCAACGCTGACGTCGTAGCGTCAGCATTTTTTTGTTAAGAAAAAAAAGACTAAACTAAAAAAAGGCCGGGCAAGGGGTCTCGGGTTCGATTCCCGGATCGGGCAAAGTATTACTGGGTGTTAATAAAAATCTCAGTAGTAGCACGGAGTCCGTAATTGTGCCCGGTATATGGCAATAGTTCACCCACTAATTACACAGGACTCACATAAATCGTGAAAAGTGAGTGGTACATTGTACAGTGGCATAATGTGTACCTCTGACTACCCTACCCATTCGGGGATAAAAGACGTGATGCTATGTACCTATGTATATAAAAAAGCGCTAGTAGCTAGTTTAAACTGTCATACACCAAGCGGTCCCCGGTGACCGCAACCTATTGTTCTATAATTGTGTCTACAAAACCGGTACTCGACGAGTTAAAAAGCGGAAGTAGCTAGTTTAAAATACAGATACTATCATGTTACGTGATCTGACACTCTTATTTAAATTCAATTGTTCATTTATGTTCTTTAACACAGTAATTATTACACCAAGCAATTTTTGTTAAAATTTACAGAAACCCTTGCCACCAACTGTAAAACCTCAAACGGTGAGCATTTGCATGACAGTTACATTAAAAATGTCTAACAAATAATCGAAATAGATCATAATTATTTAATTAATCATTTTTATTATAGAGATTCAAGGTGAGGGCAACATTTAACTTACAACATTCGAATTTCATATTATAAATTACCTTTTTACAGTTTTGGTATATTTTCAAGCAAATCTATATTATTATTATAACACACAATAATAATTAAACTTTTAATAAGAGTGTCAAATTGTAACATGATAATAATATTATTTTTACTTCACTGTTTTACTTAAGAATGATAATATTTAATATTTAAAATTAAACGGAATTTTTTTTGGAATGAGAGGAATCTGAGGAATAAAACCACTATCACCTTTTCCGCACCCTGTTAAATATATATATATTTATAAGCCATTTCTGAGATTAGCGTGAACAGACAAACAGACAAACAGACAAAAAAAAAGTTAGTTACATTTTTGGGTTCGACATCGACATAACAATAGCCCCTGCTATTTTTTTTATTTTTATTTTCAATGTACAGACAGCACTTTTCTACAATTTTATTATATGTATAGATGTACAGACAGCACTTTTCTACAATTTTATTATATGTATAGATATAGATAGATAGATATAGATAGATAGTGTTCGACGTGATTCTTTAATTTGACGTAACTTTTTTATTTATGAACCGATTGACATGAAACAAACACTAAAACATAACTGAAGCATACCACAATATATTCGTGAAAACCGCATCCAACTCGGATAAGCTGTTTCTGAGATTAGCGTGAACAGACAAACAGACAAACAGACAAAAAAAAAGTTAGTTACATTTTTGGGTTCGACATCGACATAACAATAGCCCCTGCTATTTTTTTTATTTTTATTTTCAATGTACAGACAGCACTTTTCTACAATTTTATTATATGTATAGAAGTGCCACATTCTTACGATTAAAAAAAATACCTTTAAGAGTACCACCTACCTTATTTCTATATCTTACTTCCTATTTTATTCAACGAAAAGAACTTATTATTTCATAATTATTTACAGTTTGTTAGATCGGATCGCCCTGAAGTAAGTACAATAGATTAATTTATATTTTGTATTACAATAAAATGATATAAGTAGTAATGACTGCTGACTCGGCAAACTTTATACCGCCTCAAAAATTTTTTACTCCCCTTTTAAACCTTCCCGGGACTTCCAAGAACATTTCAAGACCAAAATTAGCCCAATCGGTTCAGCTGTTTTAGCGAGACTAACGAACGGATATACATTTTTATTTATATAGGTAGATAGAAGATTGTATCTATACAAACTCATCATTCATCAACAGCCTATAAATGCCCACTGCTGAGCAAAGCCTCTTCTCACACGGAGAAGGTTTGAGCATTAATCACCACGCTTGCGCTCAATGCGGGTTGGCAATTTCAAACTTACAATTAGAAATTATAAGTCCAGGTTTCCTCGCGATGTTTTCCTTCACCGTTTGTTAGTGGTGTCTAAATAATCTTAGAAAGTCCATATAACTTGGAAAAAGTCACATTGGTACTTGCCGTTGGTAGGTTTCGAACCCGATCCCTTATGCATGACAAGCGGGCGCCTTAAACCTGCGGGTCACCGGCCATATAAACTCACTTGCAGAATAATAATAAAATGTAATAATATCGAAGCATCAAAATAGTTATTCACAAAAGACAAAGCCTAAGATTTTTCATTCTACTTTGTGTTTATGTTTTCTAGAAAAAAACAATGGCCTTCCAACAGTCGGGTAACACAGAGCCACAGGTTTCTGCCCAGCAATATTATAAGGTAATACCAATAAACTGATAAGCTTTAAAATCATTATTTAGGTATAATAAAACCAAAAATAGTAGCTTCTCAGTTCTTATGTGCGAGCTAGTTAACTAGAATATAAACAGTTTTATCCATTTTTGCAGCCACCACTGGACTTTCAGCAAATTCAAATGCTGGTAATTTAATACAATAATTTTATTATAAACAGATACTAAAAGGGCTGTATGTTTCCACGATGAATTCAAAAACTGAGAAAATTGGCGGGAACGCGGAGCGTCTCCAAACACGCTCACTCCTTCAACGTTTCGGCGGTGACTGCTGGCGCGAGAGCGGGGCCCGCTCAAGCGAGGCGTGGACGGGGCTTCGAAATTTGAATTTTAGCGCGAACGCGAATTCACTACGTTACCATCATTTTTCTTATCGCGTTACAAAGGAGGTTTTAACATAAGAGTTGCCTACAATTATAAATAGCAACTTTTATTATGAAGATATTCACGAATTCTATAGTCTGGTACAAGATTGGCTAGATTTTAACACGGATGATATTAAATTTATCATTTACCTACTATAATAAAATATTAATGTTTTTTCTCTAGGAACAATCACCGCAGTTCGAGGAGTATCAAAAACGGAAATTGGTATTTTTATATATTTCTAAATATTTCTAACTGGTTTTATCAATGTGACTCCTCTGGTATTGCGGGCGTCCATAGGCGGCGCTGATCGCTTACCATCAGGTGATCCGTCTGCTAGTTTGCCTCCTATACCATATAAAATCTCTAATATAAAAAATGTAAATCAAAGAATTTATTAGTAAATTTGATATTCGTACTATTTGTTATACATAATGTCATCTTTTGTCTTTAGCTGGAAGCTCAAAAATTTATACAAGAATATCAAAAGATGGTAATTATACGTACTAACTGTTTTCATTTATTTGAAAATAACTAATGTAGTAACACTATTTTAATATAGAAAATATAATTCATAAATAACATAATGAGTGTTTATAAAGTATCGATTTTTAATCAATTTTCACAGCAAGAGGCCAAAAAACAAGCACAACAGACGTATCAAAAACCGACAATGGTAAAATTCAGACAGATCTTTTACTATTAAGATTATATCGTTTTTGAAACAAGTAAAATTCTCAGTAGTAGCACGGAGTCTGGAATTGTGCCCGGTATATGACAACATGCTCACCCCCTATTACATGGGACTCATAACATAAATAGTGAAATGATGTGTGCTGTAAAGTGCACCTCTGGCTACCCCTTCGGGGATAAAAAGCGTGATGTTATGTATCTTATACTATTATACCTAGGTATAAAGCGGAAGAATTTGTTTTTTTGTTTGTTTGTTTAAACGCGCTTATCTCCGTAACTACAAGTCTGATTTGAATAATTATTATTTGTGTTGGATAGCGCATTTATCGAGGATGGCTATAGGCTATATAACATTACGGTACGACCAATGGGAGCTGAGCAGAGCGTGTGAAACCGCGCGAAAGTAGCTAGTGTGAAATAAATGTGCGAAATTAATTTTGTTACTTTCAGCCACCGCCACCAAGACCAAAGCCAAAACCCGTGCAAACTTATCAAGATAAATATAATATAAAGCACCATCTGGTGAGATGTTATTTTAAGGTTACAGTACTATTGTATTTTACAATGCTATGCTTGCCGTGTGATGATTTTAGAGGTTTTAAGTGTGGGATAGCTATGCTCCGTGACGAATGAGCCGCTCGACAGGAGAGACCACGGCCTCTCAGAAAGCCGACACGAAACAACGCTTGCGATGTGTTTCGTCGTGTGAGTGAGATTACTGGAGGGGCGAAGGCCCTCAGAAGAAGTAATTACCCCCTTCCCCAATCTCCCCCATCCCCGAATCCCCAAATCATAAAAGGCCGGCAACGCACTTCTACGCCCCTGGTGTTTTGGGTGCCCATAGGCGACGCCGATGGCTTACTATCAGGTGATCCGTCAGCTCGTATACCTCCTATTCCATAAATAACACATTACATAAGCCAGTATGGCTAATCTTACGGAGCCGCGGATACGATAGAACGCCTAAAGGGTTGCCGGGGCTCTGGTTCGAACAGCAGGAGTGGGAACGGGGTGGTTTTTAGTCAATAAGAGTCTGACACTCCCTCTCGCCTAACCCAAGACGGAAATAGCCATCGGATGATTTTCTACCTTGAAAAATAAAAAAGTATAGCTAATTCTTCCGCGAGTAGTCTAAGAGTTGGCCAAAGGATTAAATATTTGACAGAGACCAGATAGCAGAGGTCTTTGATCAATCTGAACTTTTCAAACTGGGTTCTTGGTACCCAAAATGAGTGAAAGCAAACCCCTCTTATGTAGGAAAGACTCCAATTCTAGGAGTGAACAACCACGGGTTCTTGATGACGATAGTTTTTTTTTATACTTTGGCCTACACAATTTACTCCTGTATCGTGGGTGCGTTAACAAACATACAAGTTCACATACACATTACACCCAGACCCGGAACAAAAATCTGTGGATCACACAAGGAATTGTACCATCCAATTGTGTGAATTGTGATCACATGATCAGATCAGATGACCCGCACGGAACGACGTGCGGGTCTGGACTGGCTGCCGCGACACGTTGCGCGGCAGCCAGTTGCTCAGCCACTGCGCCAACCACGTTATCTTTTATCTAAGAACTTTGTTTTCTATTTTCATGATCGGTCAGGAACTTCAAGATCAAATATTGGTAAGTATAGGTTTTTACTTAACAACATTATTGTAATATTGAAGTGTTTATTAGATATTTAAATGTGAAATCTTCTTTGGTTTAGAGTGGACTTAATCCTACTGAGTAAGTATGAGTAAATAATTCAAATCCCGCTCCCGCCTTACCCAGGCGGGAGCAGTCATTCGATGATTTTCCCCCCTTAAAAAATACATATAACATAACATCATCTCCGAAGGGTTAGGCAGAGGTGCACATTTCGGCACTTAATGCCACTGTTCAATGTAACACCCATTTTTCACTATTTATGTTATGAATCCCGTCCCAAAAAAAAATACTATCAAGGCAATTATATCAACAACCGCGGAGTTCACAAGCCTCTGGTCTTAATGCAAATACAGTTGTATCTCTTTGTTATTAATTTTCAGGTACAGTGACATCCCTCGAGGCATAAAAACATACGCCAGAAGAAAGCGATTCGAAGTTTTTCAAATTCTGTAAAAGTTTAGGTCAAAGTCAAATAATAATGAAGTGTAAGAACGAATACTTTGTTTTATTTTGAATAGTTACAGTAGTTTAGTTGAATAGTAACACCCTGTGTTATAGTAGTTTATTTATGTCTATTTTATGATCATTTTACTTTGATTATTGATTATTACTGGGTTTTTTTTAAATCTCAGTAGTAACACGGAGTCTGGAAATGTGCCCGGTATATGGCAGTAGGTAGGCTCACCCTCTATTACATGGAACTCATAACAGAAATAGTGAAAAGTGGGTACTACATTGTACAGTGGCATTAAGTGTCATAATGTGCACCTCTGCCTACCCCTTCGGGGATAAAAGGGCGTGATGTTATGTTATGTTTTACTTTGATAATTTGACCAGAAATTTTGTATTCCATAAAAAGAAGAATTCTAGGAACTCTGATTCGATTCCTGTGTCGGAAAAGTATCATAACCTCATTGTCTACTACGTAGGACTCGACTATATAAATAAAATTTATATCAGTTCGTTCGTCTTGCTAAAACTAGAGAACGGCTGAACCGATTTGCCAAATTTTAGTCTTAAAATTTTCGTGGAGGTCCAGGGGTGGTTAAAAAATGATTGACAATGATTTGACAGACGATACGAAGTTTCCCTAATCAGGGGGCTTTCTCTTGAATCCAATTCCGATCGATCGACATTGGAACGAGGCAGTTATTAAATATCATTATTTACTTTTAGCTAACTTTAAATATGATTATCGGTGTATCATTGCAATTTGCCGAAAGAGTGCTGAACATTAGACGGCAACGAGGCAGGCAATGAACAAGTCAAACAACAATGAAGAAGTCACATGCAAAGGCAATATGTCATTAAAACAATAGTTTTAATCTACACAGATAAATACAGTTAGAGTGGATATATGTAATATTCCAGTAACCGCTTCGTACTACATACATATGAATATACATACGATAGTTACGATACATAAATACCAAAATAACACTTTTTACAAATTTTATCTGTCAATCTGTTTGTACTGGTTAATCTCTGAAATAGCTGGACCGATTTTTCCGGGATTCCTATTGGCTGGTAGCTAATGTACTAAGGAGTAACATGACTACTTTTATTTTAGAAAAACTCAGACGAAGTTGCGCGTACAGTACTCAGTACAACTTCATTGCCACGAGAATACAACAAAACCGCGTACCTATTTCATTACGCGTGTATTTTTATTGATAGGTGTTTTATAACTGGCTTTTAATTTCATGGCAATCACTCAAATGTTATTGTTGTTATAACTAAAAGTTAATTTTAATAACAGTTATAACAAAGACAAGAGTTGATTGAATAATGAAATGGATTCCGCTGTACTTATATTTGTTTTTACTTTAATTATTGTAAGAAATAATATAATTATTTACAATTAGCTCCTTTAGTTAGTTTGTGCGTCATCACATTTTTGGATCTTTAATGAATATATTAACTGACCTGTGTACTAGGTCCAATGACGTTAGTTTTCAAAATTATCTTGTCTTATTTGCTAAACATCAATGTTTATAACTTTTTACTATTTTTTTATAAAAACAAAATAATAAACATTCATAATCTTTAAAATAATAAACAATAAGAATAAATTAAATCATTGATAATTCTTTTTTTAATTTAAACTTTGGAATCCGTATAGAAGCTGTATACATTCAGCCAGCAATACCAATAAGGTTTTATTATTTGCAGAATATTTTAAAATGTGAAGCTATTTCATTGGAAGAAACAATAAATTTATTATTGGTAAGTGTTTCTATATTTTTAAGCAGAAAACTGAATATTCTGATATTTACTCATTATTTTGTAAACAAATAATTTATTTATTAACAGAAATATAGAAGGAATTTAGAAGCGGATAAAGAGGCTAAAGATAAGGTAAGTTTAAAATTGTATGAACCAAATGTAAATTACTTCTTGAAATATATATATATATAAGAATGCACAATACTCTTAACGGCTGCACTATAATAAATCATTCTTTTTGGAGTGTTCTATGTCTAATAAAAAAATCGAAACTAGAGCCGTTAGCATAGAAAGTATAATATCGTACATGGATAATATATGTATACTTTATTCACAACATAACGTTAGAGACCAAATTATGCGCTGAATTCAAAAATGTATTAAAACCTATTTTGTAATTTATTAAATCTACTTTCTTTCACAGTTGAAGAACATAAACCTAAAAACGAAAAAATATGTAAGTTTCAAATGTTATAATATAAGTAAGACCATACTCTTAACCGATAACTAATAAAGGTTAAATCAGCTTTTTATTTACTTATTCTAAATTCTACCAAATATTACAATACCATATCGTCGGGGATAGTCCAAATCCGCGAATCTACCATACGTACAGGCTGCGTGTCTGCAATAGATCCAGTTTTACAGGGAAAGGTTAAAACTTAATACCTCTATTAATTCAATGAATTTGCTCATTTTTACATATCTATTAAAAATGAATCGAAATGAATGAATCTTTTATACATATTGTCTGGACTTTAAAAGAGACAGACCTCTGAGTTTGTTTCGGCATTTCTTCTCAGAGTAGTCAGTTAGGAAATGTCGACCTCATCGTTCGCTTGATAAAATTGACGTGTAAAAGTGCTGCTTTGTAGCCTATTTGCAGAAATAAATTCACTTGTTTCACTTGAACCCATGTCAAGGCGGTGGCAGCCAATTAAGACATTATAGGATTCTTACGCGAAAATTAAAATTAGATACATGTGCCAAAAACGCGGAATTATCCAATGCTAGTATCATACCTATTCCGTAATAATTACATTTCGCATATTTTCTATAACATATCTACTTATTTACAGAGAAGTAGTTTTTACGGGGACAATGAAGATGAAGATGAAATAAGTTACGTAAGTACGCATACCTAATAGTCCCTTATGTTTAGTAGTCTATGCCAAACTCCAACATACCAAAAAAAATGCATATTTTTCACGCGGTATTAAACACATCGTATTTTTTAAACCACAGATAAGTAATGATTACAACTAAATACTAAAAGCAATAAAAATATAAGTAATTAAAAAAAAATATCTTCTAAAAGAAATTTGACACTGGCCACAAACAATTGATATTAATATTTTTTTATTTTTTTTTTTATTTTACAATACTTTTTATAGGTGTGTTAACCTATATTCCATGTTACATAGCATTTTTTTTTAAATATTGGAATCAATACGAACATGCATTAATAGATTTTAGATTATGTGTTTATAATTTTATTTTAGAGAAGAGCTTTTGTAAGTGCCGAAGAACTTGGAGATTTTGTAAGTATTTTTAATTAATTACTTACCTATTATATTTTTAAATTATCAAAATTAAATGTGTAAGCTAATCATATTTATTTAAACACAATTATAAAATGTCTACATAATTATAGTTATCATCAATTCTAATTTCTTATAAATTAAGTTATATTTTTTTTAAATAAGATTAAAATTGTTATCTATTAAAAATTGTCTATGGTTTATGTTTTCTTTATGGATTAAATCTATGATTGTGCGTAGCAACACTGAAAAAAGGCCGCGAATTGATGAAAGCATTTAAGCGTCGAAAGAATATGTTTATTGGTTTTTATTGTCAAAAATTGTAAAGTCAATGAAGACAAAGTGTGTGAATTAAAATCTGTGCTTAGTTTTCAAATGCATACAGATATAGTTATACAGAAATTCTGTAAAACATTCCTACATTATAATTTCTAATTGCAACCATGCCTACGCCTTCATTTTTTTTTTGTAATTACAACATTTCACTAATAATATTTCATTTTATTTTTTTCACAGAGAAAAAGCACGAAGTATGGATATGGTACCAACGACCTATACACACCAAGTGTAAGTCAGTGTCTAATAAATAATCCAAAGTTACTTTCGTAGATTTGCAAAGAGGCATATTTTTTTTTATAAAAGTGAATGTGTTTTTGTTAGTTAAATGTAAACTATAGTCATAGTTTTAGGCCTATAGGCATAGGCCTTTTTTTTTAAGGGGGGAAAATCATCGAATGACTTCTCCCGCCTGGGTGAGGCGGGAGGGAGTGTCAGACTCTTACTGACTAAAAACCACCCCGTTCCTTCTCCTGCACGTCGAGTCGGAGCCCCGGTTACCCGTTAGATTCTTCGCGACAGGCATAGGCCTTAGGACCTACCTGTATCTAATGACTTTATTAATAATTTAATACCTACATATTTTTAGCGTCGATTATATGACTTCCATGCTGGGATGAGGTCACCAATCCTTGGATCTCCAACGGTACCCAGTCAGCTGCCCGAAGCAGAAGCCATTCTCCCAGGGCATACGCTGATCAGACCAGCTCTGGGAATGCTCAAATCTGCTGTGAAGTTTCCACATAAAGACCTGGACAATGGTGCTGGAGTTTATGGAAATTTGGATAATTTGGGTATCACGTAAGTATAAGAACTCCTAGAACTATGCTATAGAATTATCCTATTTAGGTAAATTCATATCATCACACTGCATAATCTTCGAGGTTTTTTTTTTTAAGGGGGGAAAATCATCGAATGGCTGTTCCCGCCTGGGTGAGGCGGGAGGGATGTCAGACTCTTACTGACTAAAAACCACCCCGTTCTTTCTCCTGCTCGTTGAGTCGAAGCCCCGGTTAACCGTTAGGTTCTCCGCGACAATCTTCGAGGATAGGATGTAACTAAAACTATTTCGTATGGCATTTTCGAAAATAGATTGAATGGTCGTTGATCAAATGTAAACACAATAACTTTTCTATCAAATACCGAGTGACATTTCTTTGTTATTAAACTCTCTAATCCAACGGCGAAAACACAAATTTAAAAAATATAAGTAACTCCAAAGAATTAATTTGACATAAATAAAGATTACATTTGACTGCACGGTTGGTGCGGTGGCTGGGCAACCGGCTGCCGTGCAACGTGTCGCGGGTTCGATTCCCGCACGGGACAACACTTTGTGTGATCCACAAATTGTTGTTTCGGGTCTGGGTGTCATTGTGTATGTGAACTTGTATGTTTGTAAACGCACTCACGACACAGGAGAAAATCCTAGTGTGGGGCAACGTTTAAAAAAAAAAAAAGGCGACCGCTTCTGTTCGAATTATTAAGGATATATCAGAGTAATTTTTAGAAATGTAGTTTTGTAGCAAATGTTGTATCCTGCATGTTTTACGTATCTACGTTTATGTTTTCAGATACGGCGGTACAGGCGAACGAGTATTGTACACTGGATTTAGAAGAAATAATAATGCCTTCTTACCATCCGTAAGTTGTTATTCTTTTTTTTATGGCATAAGCCGGTAAACGAGCTGACGGATCACCTGATGGTAAGCAATTGGCATCGCCCATTGACACCTGGAACACCAGAGGCGTTACAAGTGCGTTACCTGCCTTTTGGAGATTAGAAGTTTGAGGATCGTTGGGGATTCAGGAATTAGGGAGATTGGGGAAGGGGAGGGTAATTGGGCCCTCGGTAACCTCACTCACACGACGAAACACAACGCAAGCGTTGTTTCACGTCGTTTTTCTGTGAGGCCGTGGTATCACTCCGGTCGAGCCGGCCCATTTGTGCCGAAGCAGGGCTCTCCCACACTTAATAAGTGTATGTGAACTTGTATGTTTGTAAACGCACCCACGACGCAGTAGAAAATCAGGAGGATTTTTGTAAACATTAAAAAAATATTTTTTTTGATATTATTCTCACTGCGCAGGTATCAAATGAAGCCTCGAACTTTAAGCCAAGGTGAGTCCAAAATATTTCTAAAAGAAACCTCTGTTTATTTATTATAACTATAACTTACTTATTCATCAAATTCAGTTTAAATGTCTGTTTGGTATTTTGCCTGCCTTCATACAAAAGATATCTCAGTTTTCAAATAAAATATACTAATAAATGGTTAGCTGTTGTCAACTATATTTACTTTATTAACTAAAATCACGGGTTACTCCCGCACATATACTGAGAAGCTCACTGGCTCAGAGTGAGTTGCGCGACGTCACCGCGACCGCTCACGCTGCTCATGAGGAAGAACCCCTCTGTGGTTCGAAATTAGTAGAGCTTTTCTCAGTATATTCACGTGAGTAACCCGCGATTTTTGTTAATTTACTATGTCTCACGATAGTTATTATAAAAACATATTTACTTAGTGTTTTTTAAATTAAGTTTATGAATATTTCACATACTTACGTTTTGTTTCTCCTAAAGATACATAATAGCACTAGTACGCAAGAAACCACGAAATAAGGTAATAAACAAATACAGTAATTACGACAACAACTGAAAATAAATGCTTTGCTTTTGACTCTTATGTTTTTAATTTCAAAATAATAATAACAATCCTATTATTATAAGCGATTTATCAATAGTGGGATTTGAAACCCACTATTTGGGTAAATTGATAGACTGATGAAGTTCCGAAGGCACATCAATAATAATTGTTATATTTTTATTATAATTATTGTATTTTAACAATTTAATTTTAAAATAATAATAACAATCCTCTCATAATAAACGATTTACCAAGAGTGGGATTTATGAGCCATTATTTGAAAGTTCCGAAGGTCATCAAATGTTATTTTTCAATATAATGATTATTTGATGATAATGTATTTTAACAAGGATAAACCAGTAGCACGATTCCGAGATTATGGCAAGCTAGAAAGAGAAAAAAAGCAACTACTTCTAAATAGTTTCAGTCCAAAAACGATGTGAGTATATGTGATAATTTATTTCCTTCAAATGTATATTTAAAGGAACATGATAATATTTAATTCTAGGTAAGGTTTAACCCGTGATAATAGACTATCCAATACAAATGTTTTTTTTTTCATTTGGAACAATAGTTTTGAAGATAACCGCGTCGAAACAAACCTACAATCTCTTCAGCTTTACCTACATATTAGTGTTTTTCATTAACTCAATTACGAAAATTTATTTTACTCACGATAGCGATGAGGAAAATTTTTTCTTTGATGCCTTACGATATGTACATTTTTTATTTAGGGTGCAAATATTTTAGTTTTAAATTATTTATATTTTAAGTTGTACAGGTATATTTATTTCATTAAAATTCTAATCTAATTAAATTACTTTTAATTACGAAGATTGAATTAAACTTCATAATGTTTTATTTCATTTGAACTGAGCAGGAATGAGACAGAAAGACTGGTAAGATTTTCTTTTTTAGTAAAAAGAAGAATATTTTCATAGCATTTACTTATTATAATAATCCATTAAATTATTCTTTTCGCATCTAAAACAGAGGAACTCAAAAAAACTCACCAAGGTAGATATACCTCTTTCTCTTTAACCTTTTTTTCTTTAACTAATAGATAAGTTATAATGTTTTTATTTTTTTTTTATTTTTATGTAAGCCGGTAAACGAGCAGACGATGGTAGATCACCCAATGGTAAGCAATCGGCGTCGCCCATGGACACTAGAAACACCAGAAATTGTTACAAGTGCGTTACCGGCCTTTTAGGGATTAGGAATTTGAGGATTATTGGGAATTGAGGAATCAGGGTTGTTTTACGACGGTTTTCTAAGAGGTTGTGGTATCCTACGGTCTCCCACATTTAATTCATTTTCACATAGATATTTTATAATTCACTTATTTTATATTTTCAATTTACTTTTAGACTTATAAAACAAACGGAATCACGTTAGAGGTAGGTGTCATAATCAATTATAATTTTAAGTAAATAATGTATAATTATGATATACTATATATTTTTTATAATGTAGAATTATGGTGTATTATATATTTTATATTATTAATTATTCTTATTACACAGTGTATAAAATATGTTTTTATACTGTAGTAATAGTGTGAAATTTCTTTATCCTCTGAATTTTGTTTCGACTGTTCATTACCTTAATATTATGTATATACTATACTACCTGTTGAAACCAACGCTTTCAAAACCCGGGGGAATGTACGAGCGCCTGCTGGATATACCATAGCAACGACGTGTGCTTAGTATAATGTTAGCAATTAAGTAACTAGTATATTTATTTGTATTTATTTTATATGTACCGACGCTAACTTCTTCACTTGCTGTGCTGTACTCGTTAAGTTAACTCCTCATTAAAATCCTACTTGCTGAGTATTTTTGAGTCTTTTCCTGCGAAGCCCTGGCCAATACTCTACCTTAATACAAAAGTAGTTTTCTTAAACAGACATGTAAACATCCCATTTGATTGCCTATTTTCTAAAACTAATGCTATTAAGTACTTAATAATAAGTTTTGTAAATATTCTGCAGTTTTTTGAAATACCTAAAATTAAAGAAGAAGCCGATGAAGCCATGTTGGTAAGCGATGCTGTGTAGTTTACTTTAATTGAATTGTATTTTTATTCATACAATAATTATGAAAGCAATCTTTACATTATCTTCACAGAAGGAGCATTACCATGAATCTGTAAAACCTTACACAGCGGTAACTATCATTTCTTTTTTTAAATATATTTTTTAATCGTAAACAGTATATAAACTTTTTTGGAAAATTATTCAATAAAAAGTAGAAACAAAGATACAATAGAAACCCATTGTTTTTCGTGTTTTTGAATCGAACAAAAACATTAAGTTTCACTACCTCCATACAAGATAAACTTATGTGACAAATAGTTCATACAAATTTCTTAATTCAAATTTATCTGGTAGATAACGGCACACCAGCAGATTTAGCCCAATGCCATTTAGCGCTTGTCTACATGTAGAATAGAAAACCAAATTATATGGAATTGACGTAAATTTTGACACTTGTCAGTGTCATCCCCATAAATGTAGTTTTCTATTCTCTCTGTAGACAAGCGCTAAAGTGTCATTTGGCTAAAGGAAGACAGATATTGTGAAACAGGCTCTAAAGCTACTAAATTTCTTCTCTATGTAATTACTTAACACTTTAATTGACAGAAGTTTACACTAGTTTCAAGAAAATAGCATAACGGACAATGTTTTTGTTTTATTTATTACCTTTTTCCTTTAAAACTACAATACAATCTCTATTTCACAAACAGTTTTTAGAAGCCACAAGGGCAAAGAACTTTGATTCGGTATGTTTATATTTTCACTTTTTTAATTTGATTTTTTTATGGGATAAACCGGTAAACGACCATACAGATCACCTGATGGTAAGCTCAGGGTCGCCCATAGACACCTGGAACACTAGAGGCGTTACAAGTGTCTTATCGGTATTTTGGAGATGAGGAATTTCAGGATTGTTGAGGATTCAAAGATTGGAGAGATTGAAGACGGGGGGAGGGGTAACTAGGCCTCCGATAACCTCACTAAACATAACGCAAGCGTTGTTTCTCTTGCGGTATCTGCTCGGCCGTGGTATCACTCCGGTCGAACCGGCCCATTCGTGCCGAAGCATGGCTCTCCCACACTTAAAACCTTATACAATAACATCTATGATTTTTTATTCAATACCTATAATAAAGTAAAGTGTCAAGAAGTAAAATAAGTCTTTTTTATTTATTTAACTGTATAATGTTTTGGCGCGCTGTTAAATTATGCATGTGTATGTGAATAATGAATAAATATTTAATAACGTCATGTATTTTAGGTTGAAATGCGTTTTCCGACCATAGCAGAAGAATATCCAAAAGACGTAAGCATTTTAACTAAAAATCGCGGGTTACTCACGTGAATATACTGAGAAAAGCTCTACTAGTTTCGAACCACAGAGGGGTTCTTCCAGCATGAGCAGCGTGTGCGGTCGCGGCGCGCAGCCTACTCCTACTAGAGTAGACTGGACGACATCTCGCCGCGACCGAGATTTTTAGTTAATTTAGTATGTCTCACGATAGTTATTATAAAAACGTAAGCATTTTATCAAAATATTTGCGCTCAGGATTTTTAGTAGTAAGTAGTACCTAGCCTTTTGATAAGAATTAACTGATCAGTATGTCAGGCATAATCAGAAATATTATCATTCATTGTTCAGTACATATTTAAAATACCGATAGATTAAATTTATTTTTGTTATATACGCTTTATAATGCATATATTTAAACTTTCGTGAGGCACACTAAATTAATTATTTATTGTATTTTCGGCTTACGTAATTATTTGACGAGGGACTCGACTAGTCTCAAGCCATGCTAGAGGCTTAAATTCATGAGTAGCAATCTGTGATACGCGACGCGGCGACTGTCGCGCTACTACTAAATATGTATGAGCCTCTAGCATGGCTTGAAACTAGTCGAGTCCCTCTTCAAACAGTTATATGAGTAAGCCGATTATAATAATTAACATTGTAATGTTGATTATTCCAGAATGCGTTTATGATAGAAAAAAAATCCTGAAAATCTTGTGGGAATGGGAGAAATCGGGATTGCGCGTACGAAGTCGCGGGTAGAAGCTAATAAATCAATAAATTGTGTAATTTTTTATAATTAACAGCCTCTGTTTTTGTACCTGTTACGGAAATTGGTTAGCCGTTACACGCCTTAAAATAATTGAATTATTTCATTTCAGAAAAGTAATCGCCGGTGGAATTCAATTCTATGATAGATGAAGATAAAACTGTTTTTTTTAATTATATAATATAACATTATTGACACTGTATCGTTTCATTTAGTAGTCTCACTTAGGTACCCATAATGTTCTTGAATTATTCTGTAATAACGTCACAATAAAATTTTAATTATAACAAAATAATTTTCACATAATGTCTTTCAATACACACAGATCATCAATTCATAAATTATTTTGTTGCCTTGGTTATTTTATAGTGTTGAATTTAATAGAAAAAATAATAGAAAAGAATACTGAAAATATAATAACAAAAAACAGAAAAAACTGAACAAAACACCCTATAGTTAGAAGTTAAACTATATGTTTTGAAATCAGTTACACCGTTAACTTCATTAACATACCAAAATACAAAACATAATATAATAATTAAGACAATAATTATTATAATTATATCATTTTTTTAAAATGGAACCAATCGTTCGTTTATCAATAATATCCATGTCAACTGTGTTTTCAATATAAATTCTGAATTAATATTTTTATTTTGAACATGTTTTATGACGCAGTTCATTTCATGGTAATTAATTATTCGAACACTATTAAAGTTATTACATCGATACGTTTTTAAATACTTATACGAAGGCCAGTATCAACTGAAAAATGAAATGGACTTCACTGTAACATTTTTCGTTATAACAATAATTGTAAGCTATTTTTTCACTTTGTCTGAGTATTTTACTGGAGTTTTACCTAGTTTTTGTTATAATTGTAGCATTAACGACACAAATTTTCTTCATAATATTTGTTTAGATATTACTAGTGTTATGAACTTATTGTGATGTGACTAAAATTTGTTGAATTGGATGCAACTAGTTTACAATTGGCCTAGCCGATCTGAATATCATCTGAGAGACCCATATTTAGCGCTGGTCATCGACAATTGTACTATGATGACTATTGAATCATTTAGATCGTGTATCAGTAGTATGATACATAAAAAATAGTCAATTGTGTTCCACATATTGATGAAGTAAACAGTAGAGCTGTAGCCAAATGCCATTTAGCGCTTGTCTACATGTAGAATAGAAAACCAAATTATATGGAATTGACGTAAAATTTTTGGTTTTCAGTGTCATCCCCATACATTTTGATTTCTACTCCCTCTTTAAACAAGCGCTAAAGTGGCGTTTGGCTAAAGGCATAACAAGGCCGGAATAACGGAGCAAATTAATTAACAGTCGTCGTTTGTTGTGATATTTATTCATACATCTGTGTGCTATCTTTGGACGCGTACCTAATTAAAATGATTTAGTTTCAGAATATATACGAATGCAATGGAAGAAATTTCAGAAACAACTATAGACTACATCAGGTAATTAGTTTGATACAGTTTTCCAAATACAGTTATTACAAAAAAGTACACCGCCACCGTCAGAGATTAAAACATGTGATGTTATACGATATAATAATACTAGGTCCACTAAATTACAGGCACAAAGGAGAAATTATAGGCAAGAAGAGGATTCAGACGATTCAGAGATAATTAATGTAAGTTTTTAAAAATAAATCATATAGTGACAGTAAGCTGTTTGGGCTCGAATGAGCCGTCTCAACAATACAGAAATGATACCAACGGCCTAAGAGAAAATCGACGTGAAGAAACGATTGCGTTGTGTTTTGCCGTTGTATGAACTTTCCCCAATCCCTTAAAGACTGGCTACACACACATGTTACTCTTTTGTACAAAATGGTATTATAAAAATATTATTTAACTAGCAGCCCGTCCCGGCTTCGCAAGGGGTAGACAATTATTTATTTTTTTTGGAAATTTGGGTTGTTGTAGTGACACAACTACAGTAGTTGGACATATGCTACCGCGGAGTTTTTTGTAGACATTATGATGTTCTTCAATATTGTTGTACATTATTTTGTTCTATCGCTAATAGTTTCGGCAACGCATTCGACGAAAGACATTTTTAGATCATTTTTCTACACCTTCGGTTACATTGTTCAAATTTTACCAAGGATCCCTAATTTTTTTCAAAATGAAATGTAGCCTATGTGTAATTGGAAGAATGTAGCATTCTATTGGTGAAAGAATTTTTTAAATCGGCCCAGTACTTTTTGAGCCTATTTATTACAAACATACAAACATACAAAAATAGGTACAAATCTTTCCTCTTTATAATATTAGTATAGATTAGGTAAATTGCCTACATGTATTGGATATCCATGGATATAGAAGCTAATAAAAACTTGTGTCTCCTTTAGGAGATATTTAGTTTCCTATAGTACATTTTATAAACTTATAAAAACGATTAATTTTCCAGCAAAGATATTACAATTACCATCCTGGATCAAATGCAAGACGTAGTAATTGGCCACATATACCTAATGTACCTGAAGAAACATTTAGGAGACAAGGCGGCCGTAGTTATGACAATCTTAATGGTATAAAACTCGGGTAAGAATTTGTTGCTTTCTTCTGCATTTTGAACCATATTTTCAAGTAGTAGATGAGTAATAAGTTGAAATCGTATCATCATATAACGGGTAACCGGGGCTTCGGCTCGATGTGCAGGAGAAGGAACAGGGTGGTTTTAGTCAGTAAGAGTCTGACACTCCCTCCCGCCTCACCCAGGCGGGAGCAGTCAATCGATGATTTTCTCCCCTTAAAAAAAAAATCCATGACCTAAACTATTTTGAGGTTATCTACAAATACATTATTTAAACTGCCTCGTTGGCCGAGAGGTCGCAAGTGCGACTCGGCAGTCGCACTTGCGACCAAGGGTCTCGGGTTCGATTCCCGGGTCGGGCAAAGTATTACTGGGTTTTAAAAAAAAATCTCAGTAGTAGCACGGAGTCTGAAAATGTGCCCGGTATATGGCAATAGGCTCACCCCGTATTACATGGGACTCATAACATAAATAGTGAAAAGTGGGTGTCACTTCTGTGTGCAACTCTGCTTACCCCTTCGGGGATAAAAAGCGTGATGTTATGTTATGTTATGTTACATCATTTAGTTATAGAGAATTTAATAGTGATTCAAAAATAAGTAACAATAAGACTTAGGACTGATATTTATAATCATCAGTTTTATTTAATTTAAACCCGTTTCTTTTTCAGGTCTACTGAAATTGACGACAGTCAATTCAATCTTAAATATACCGATGCTAAAATACTTCCAGTAAGTACATTTTCTTTATATGATTATCTCGTTTATCTTTAGTATAGATCAGGTCTTGCTTTACTAGCAACTCATTGGTTGTCGCAGTTATGTCACCGAGAGTTCAGACAATGATTATGCCTATCCTATGAAGACTGGTTGTTCTTCTAGGACACCAATCGGGACTAGGATTAATTTGCTACTAAAAAAATTAATTTCGTATGCATTTTCAGCTATTGCAGGAAAAGTAAGTCTTTATAATGATGTTTGCTTATTTATGTTTTTCATAATTTGATCTGCAATTATAACACATTGTTATGGATATAAGCCGTGCTTCGTTTTTATAGTAGTATATTTAACACCAAGTCTTATCATGTTAAGAATTATAAGGAAAATGTGTTACAACACATTTTTAATAGATAAATATCTAAACTCTCTTATTATGTAACACTACGTGGAAGTGCGATAGTGGTACGATTTTTATAGTAGTTCAATTTTTGATTGTCTAAAGTTTGCTGTCAGCAATGAGATTTGAAACTAGTGTAGACATTAATTTTTTTTAATTCTACATCCAGGTTCGTTATAGCACTTCTAAAATTACCTGACACTGTAAGTTTCCTGTTAATATTATATTAAGTAATCACTTAATTTTTACTGAAATATATTTTATTTTATTTTAGCGTTATGAATTATTTTCTTAAACCATTTTTCCAATAGGATACACAAAGGACGTATGGCAGAAACGACAATACATTTGACAAACAAAATAATAGACGCTCACAGACATTTTTTGACAATTTGCAACTGTAAGTACCTACATTATTTACAATTTGAAAATAAGTTCACAAAAATGACTTAGGTACTGTTTTAATAAATACTTGGAAAACAAAAGCAGTTAAGTACTCGTCATTCGAGTAGTTGCTTCACGTATTACACATTTTTTTTAACCGCAGCGTGGAACATCCTCGTGGAGCCCCCTCGCCTGGGGAGGACGAAAGGGACTGTCAGACTCTTACTGACTAAAAATCATAATCTACCCCTTTTCCAAATTGCATATCGATCCCTTCATTTGTTTTGAGGTGAAGAAGTAACTAACAAACAAATAAACAAACATACAAAGTAAATTTTTTAAAGGCGTTTTTAGTTATTTATATTTATAATATTAATATTACCTAGCTTAAGTTAATTTTAAGTTGTTTAGGTTTATTCAAAATATAATTTTTCGAATCATCAAAAAACTAAATACATATAAAAACATTGAAACTTTCACATTTAGTACGATTAAGTATCATTTAAAAAAATGGCTTTCCAAAAATCTTCGTCAAAGATTATATCTTTCAAGCATTTGTATTTGTAAAATTATAAAATATAAAAGTTTCTGTATCCATTATTCCAGCTTGACACAGAATAACAATTTGTCAGAACAAGTAAGTATTAATTTATTTCTGTATATATAACTTGATAGGAACCCTATTAATGGTTAAATAAATAAAAACCTAGGTATGTACATATATCTAGGTATATGTACAGATAATTTGAAATTGACAACCCCAAGCGTGGTGATAAATGCTCAAACTTTAGAAGAAGCCTTTGATCAGTGGTGGCCACTTATAGACTTGATAGGATGTCATATGATAGGTATACAGGAATAAAAATATTGACAAAATTACCATACTAGGTACTACCTTATAGAATTGGGTCAAATACAGAGACAATTTCTTGATATATATTTAATGTTATTTTATGTTGATTTAATATCATATTAAAAAAGAAAATTATAATAATCCTTTCAGGATGAATTCTTGCAGGACTATGCAAAACAATATCAAAAATATCAGTTAGAAATGGCAAAGAAAAGAATGGAACAATTGCAATGGGAAAATAAGTGAGTAACGAATATAAATTATCTTTTACCATAACGTTTGTCATGAAACCTTACATTACACAAACATACAGTTAGGCTGGTACTACTAAGCTGTTCTCTAACTGCCAATTTGAACTTTCAAAATGCGCTCGATCACATTCTCGCCCGTCATTGGCCGAGATTATTCTCAGAACCAATGAAATGGCGAATCGAGAACGAGTGCACTTCGATCTTTCAAATTAAAATTTATACAACAACTTATCTGGTACGATACTCAAGCGGAGATCCCTTGTCAATTACAGTTGAAAAGAGATGGAAATACATTCAACAGATACGTGCATCTCTTTTCTACTAAGTTTTTAACAGATGTCGTATATAATACTGGCATAACAGCATTTTTCAATAATCATATTAACTTGTATAACATTTTAGGAAATTAAAATAAAATTTAACTAAAGTATTGTTTATGATAACGTTCTAAATCTGGATATTTATGCACTTTTTTAATATTTATTATAGGTAGCATTATGTATGTGTATTTAGTAGTTATATAGTTTCCAACCTTAGTACTTATATTATAAGTTCTATTTTAATATAGGACTCCACATCTTGAAGGTATTGTAGATACTGCATTGAAACCTGTGAGTAATAGTTCATACTACAAATGTTGATTCTTCGAACTTTGTCTTGGTATATCCTGTTCTAAAAAATGCAAGATATATTTTCATTTAAAATAGTAATTAATACTTTATCTTAAACTATCAGCTTTGCCTGTTATTTTTAACAAAATCTACTATTTCTCTTCAAAAACTTTTGGTAATTTTTACTTTCAATTTTATACTTCAAAGGTAATCTCTAGTTTGAGAAACATGAAGGTAAGTAGAAATAATTTACTAATTCGATGCAAGTTGAATCATCAGAAAAGTAGTCTTACAAAATTCTGACAAAATATTGAGATAAATAAAAATTAATATATTTTTCCATTAATAGGTAACACGACTTGAAGATATAGTACAACATTATAGCCAGTTGCAAGAAGACATGGAACAAAATGATTTAATCAATAAATTGACAAAACCAGAAGAGAAAGTCAATGAAGAATCATTTACATTGTACCAGCCTATAAACTATAAAATGTGAGTTAACGAATAATGAAGTCAAAATAAATAATATAAAATGTGAGTTAACGAATAATGAAGTCAAAATAAATAATATAAAATGTGAGTTAACAAATAATGAAGTCGAAATAAATAATATAAAATGTGAGTTAACAAATAATGAAGTCAACATAAATAATATAAAATGTGAGTTAACGAATAATGAACGATGAATGTGAGTCAACAAATACAAAATAAATATTAGTCTGTCAGTCAGTCCGTCAGTGAAGCTAGGTGAAGCTAGCTGCTCATTCCAAAATGTAGATTCAAATGGACAAGAACGGGAAGAAACTCCCTTCGTTACTCTTTTTAAAAAAAGTCTATTCTACAATGTCTCTGATACATATTCCAATACTGTACGTATATGTGAGAAAGTGGGTGTTACAGATTGTACAGTGACATTAACTGCCGTAATGTGCACCTTTGCCTAACCCTTCGGGAATAAAAAGCGTGATGTTATGTTATATCTAAAGAAAGATTAAATAATTTAGAATTAAATTTGAATATACAGGCGGACATCGAGTAATTACGAGAATCCTCTGAGAGTAAGTTCTTTTAGTACCTAGTTATGATTGTTCATTACAATTACTTTAATTAATAATTTTACGCAGCTGCATAGAGAAATCTGCAATTAATTACAATGTAATTCCCTCTATTATTTTATACATTAATTGTAAAAGTTATATAAAAAAAACTGTATTTGTATTGTAACTTTCGTGAGACATACTAAATAAATTATTATGTTTTCGGCTTACTCACGTAGTAATTTGACGAGGAACTCGACTAGTTTCAAGCCATGCTAGAGGCTCATATTCATGAGCAGCATTTCGGGACCCGCGACGCGGCGACTCAGTCGAAAACATAATAATTAAAAAAATTGTTTTCTAATTTCATAGGATGTACCATTAGAACGACTAATAAATGCTCATAGAAAACTTGAACAAGAAATAGATCGAAGAAAGACTGTACTAGAAAACTATTTGTAAGTAATGTACCTACTACAGTAATACATCACAACTTACATAGTATAAAACAAAGTCGCTATCCGCGGTCTGTCGTCCCTATGTATGCTTAGATCTTTAAAACTACGCAACGGATTTCGATGCGGTTTTTTTAAAAGATAGAGTGATTATTAAGGAAGGTTTGTATATATAATACATGCATATTGCACCCGCGCAAAGCCGGGGCGGGTCGCAATATACTGATAAATAATGCCATAATGAAGACTGAACGGTTGGCGCGCTGGCTGGGCAACCGGCTACAAAGCAACGTGTATCGAGTTTGATTCCCACACATAGTAACTCTTTGTGTGATCCACAAATTGTTGTTTCTAGTCTGGTTGTGATGTGCATGTTATATTGTATAATTTGTAAATACACACGACACAGGAGAAAATCCTAGTGTAGGGCAACGTTGTTTTAAAAAAAATAGGTATAAATGTCTATAATATTTTCCAAACAACAAAATCACCGATTCCTCTTTAACGTTTTCAATTTTACTAAACCTTTCCATATACTTGCATGTTAATGTTTTAATGTTTACAACACAGGAATAATTTGAAACTGAATTCACTGAATGAAATGTCCAAAGCACCGGTAAGTAATATTATTTTGTTACAATAACAAAAATACATAATTACATTCTGTTTATTGACTTTTTTATTTCAATTTAATCAGACTAGTTAATAAAATTTATTGTGGTACAATTCTACCTATAGTTTTAATATAATCTAATTGAATTAACTTACGTATTAACGTATCATACAACTTTTAAGGAGATAAAAACTTATCAGGTAATTTTTTTATTAATTCTCATAATGTAAAATAACTGACTGCCTCGTTTTCCAAGTAATCGTTCTCAGGGGGCAAAGTACTACACTGTGTTTTTAAAAAATATCTCAGTAGTAGCATGGAGTCTGGAATCATGCCCGGTATATGGCAATAAACTAAACCCTTATTAGGTACATGAGACTCATAACATAAATAATGAGAAGTGGGTGTTGCATAATACACTGGCATTAAGTGCCGTAAAGTGCACCTCTGCCTCTCCCTCCTTCGGTGATAAAATGCGTGATGTTTTATAGTGATTAACAAAAAATGTTATACTACTTAGTATAAGTACTATAATAATACCTATAGGAGCAGTTTCACTGATGCCACATAGGTCTCACCTGTTACCTATTTTTTGGTACATTTTATATGAAAAGCTATTTCAAAATAACTACCAATTAGACTGACGGAAATACCTTTGTGTGGGACAGCGTTAAAAAAAAGACAATATAATAAAACAGTGTCTTAGCACCAAGGTTCTAGTTCATAATAAAATGATCTTTGATAAATAAATTTCCATAGATTAGTCGTCACCCCAATACTGGAAAGCAGGTAAATGAATCAATTTATTAACCTAATGACGCTTAATGATACGAGTATATACGTACATAAGTGGTTGTTCAATATTGACAATCGACCATAATTAATTAACAGAGCATTTCAATCAAATTATTTCCATTGTAAAATGCAATTAAACTTCTATTATATTGTGCCTTATACTAGGGTGAAATTTGTATAGAAAATATACAAAATAAATATAGAAAAATGTAGGGAATATTGTATAGAAAAGATCTACTTTTCATCTAGTTGGTTGTAAAAAAGACAGCTGAAATTATTCATAACGCGACTGAAGCTCAGTCTGAGGTGAGTCATTGGACTTTGTCTATCTACTTTCATTAAAGATACACATTTTATACACATATATAGTAAATTGACCAGGTAAAAATATAGACAACAAACAATGATGTTGTAAATATATATTGAACAGTTGTTATCCAAAAAGAAAATTCAAAGTCAAAGTTTTAGAGTTTAAATATAGAAAAATGTAGGGAATATTGTATAGAAAAGATCTACTTTTCATCTAGTTGGTTGTAAAAAAGACAGCTGAAATTATTCATAACGCGACTGAAGCTCAGTCTGAGGTGAGTCATTGGACTTTGTCTATCTACTTTCATTATAGATCCTACACATTTTATACACATATAAATCGACGAGGTAAAAATATGGACGTCAAACAACGACTTCAATTTTTAACATTTTCGTTGTTGTAAATATATATCGAACTGTTGTTATCCAAAAAAAGTTTTAGAGTTATTTATATGTATTGAGTGATTAAATGAAAGACATAGTTCGAGTAGAACTGTATATTCACGACTGGTGAACCTATTTGACACACATCATACCTTTAACATAGGTACGTCACGCTATCATATTTCCTGTCATACGATGTGTTTCTACATATTATTACAAAATATTTATATCAATCAATCCTTATTTAGGCCCTGTTGAAACATTAAAATTGAATTGGCCGTCAGTCGGTCTGTCAATGAAGCTAGGTGCTCATTTCAAAGTGTAAACATTAGTTTCGAATGGAAAAGAACGAGCAAGAAACTCCTTGCAATAAAAATGTTTTGATGTACATATTGAGTTAAGTTACCTACACAACAATCATACACATAACTGAGACAAGAGACAACAATATTTCATATTAAGTTATATTTACTAGGCTACTACAACTCACTCTTCAATCACAGATGATAAAAGAAAAATTGCAGAAGTAAGTTGATTGCATAAAAACTTATTCCCAAATTTTAATAAGAAGCGAAATTTTCCATATAATCTGTCGTTGTTCTTATTATTATTAAAGGAATTCTTATCAAATTACAAGGTGAGTGATCCATTTGTAATTGGTGCTACCGGTATTTTGCTCACCAAATTGCGCAAATGTAAGAAGAGATGTTTTATCGTATCACAGCAGCTGTCAAATATTAAACGACCAATAGTGTGAGACTAGCTAATTCCCTATTGGATAGTGAAGCGAGAGGTGAAGACCAGCGCCATCTGTTGAGCAAAAATACGATAAGCCACATTTTCCCTTGATCACGGCATCATGCGTGAATGGCTGGACCGATTTCACTAATTCTTTTTTTGTTGTGTTTGTTATTATTAGCAGAAGGTGCTTAAGACAGAAAAAATCCAGTAAATCCTACGGGAACGGGAGAAAATGGGATTGCGCGTACGAAGTCGCGGGTAGAAGCTAGTACTAAATAAACATGTAAATGTTAAACAAAGATCTGGTAATTGAAAATATTTACTGGTTGTCAGGCACTAAAAATTTAATTTCATAACAGCTTACTGCTCCATTATTCCCAAGAAAACCAAAAAAGGTTGGTAAATTTAAAAAGGTAAGTCTTACAAAGCATATATATTTAAAAAAAAGTACTAATAGGAAACGACTTCAAATAAGTTGTATTTAAAAAAAAAGTTTGAATACCTAGGGAACTATACAAATGAATTACAAAAAATAAAACTTATGGTTGCTGAATCTTTTTTATAATAATATACTAGCAAAGACCTTTGTAGCTCGATAAAAAAAATGGTGGTAACGTGTGAATTCGTGTTCGCGTTAAAATTCAAATTTCGAAGGCCTCGCTCGAGCGGGCCCTGCGCTTGCGCCAACAGTCGCCGCACTCGCCGCCGAAACGTTGAGTGAGTAAGCAAGTTTGAAGACGCTCCGCGTTCCCGCCAATTTTCTCGGTTATTGAATTCGTTGTGGAAACATACAGCCCTAATCTATTACAATTCTTATGATCATTTTTTTGTAATTACAGTCAAAATCAATATTTCGCACAGAAAATAAAACCGAGGTCTGAACTTAATATACGTATAAAATATAACAGATAATGTGTAAATTAATAGTTACATAGGAAATATTTTGTGACAATTTTTTTATTACTTTTCAGAGCTCAGTAAAGACACGTGCAAAAACTGCCTCAGCCAAGGTTTGTTTAGTTTTTTTTTGCATAGGGCAACAAATGAGATCACTGGTCATATAATCAGTTTGTCTGAGCGCCTAGTAAGAGATTACATTTCGTTTAACGAAATGTAAACGTTACCGTCTTAGTCATCTGATTGGTGAATTTATTGCAGCAGGCCAATCAGAGCGTCGAATATCATGAATGTGTTCATCATTTACTGAATTACTCAGTCTACCTGATGATAAGAAATTTTATTCATCACCTAGGTATAAAGGCCTCATCAATACAAATGAATCAAACCAAAACACAATGTAGCTACTGTCAACCGTTGAGGAGTTCCCTCAACTATCGTACTACTTCATCATCAGACCCTTATTGGCCTTAATCACATACCACCTAGGTAAAAAGTCCTCATCAATACAAATGAATCAAACCAAAACATAATGTAGCTACTATCAACCGTTGAGGAGTTCCCTCAACTATCGTACTACTTCATCATCAGACCCTTATTGGCCTTAATCACATACCACCTAGGTAAAACGTCCTCATAAATACAAATAAATCAAACCTAAACACAAGATAGCTACTGGTAATAGCTGAGGAGTTCTCTCAACTATGGTACTACTTCATGATCAGACCCATACTGGCAATCACATACCACCTAGGTATAAAGTCCTCATCAATACAAATTAATCAAACCCAAACACAAGATAGCTACTGTTAACCGTTGAGGAGTTCCCTCAACTATGGTAGTACTTCATCATCAGACCCTTATTGGCAATCACATACCACCTAGGTATAAAGTCCTCATCAATACAAATTAATCAAACCCAAACACAATGTAGCTACTGTTAACCGTTGAGGAGTTCCCTCAACTATGGTAGTACTTCATCATCAGACCCTTATTGGCAATCACATACCATATAGGTATAAAGTCCTCATCAATAAAAATTAATCAAACCCAAAGTTCCCTCGTCTGCCTATCGGCTCCGTCATCAGATCAGCTCCAGACCGTTATCAGATTGTAGTGGTTTTAAATACTTCAAAAAATATAGTCGAATTGAGAACCTCCTCCTTTTTTTTTAAGTTTCGCATTTTTTGTATTAGTTTAATAGTTTAAAAACACATTAATACTCATTTTGAAAATAAAAGATATGATGCTATCATTTTTAGGATTCACAGGCTCTCCGATCTAGAGCAGAAGTAAGATATTTTTTTTTATAATGAATAGTTTCATTTTATAGTCTGATATTATTTAAGTGATATTAAAATAATGTTTTTCGATCGTGGCTTTATATTTATTCGACACTATTTTGTAGCTAACTTGTAAAATAATTTTATTACTCATAGTTCTTTTCTGGAATAATCCGGTAAACGAGCAGACGGATCACCTGATGGTAAGCAATCGCCGCCGCCCATGGACACCCGAAACACCAGAAATGTTACAAGTCCGTCATAAGCCTTTTGATCCATCAGAGATTTGGGAATTTGGGGACTGGGAACTGGGCCGCCGTAACCTCACACGACGAAATACAACGCTTTAGTTGTTTCACGTCGGTTTTTTTCTGAGGTGGTATCACTCTAGTCGAGCCGACTCATTCGTGGCCGAAGTATGGTTCTTCCACAGTTACATTTTTATACACAAGTTAAGACTCGATTCTAATTATAAAATTCAGGTGAAAGTATCCTTAGATTTGTTGTATATTTTTTGTAATAGGTTTATTAGATTTTAAGCTGTGACATTTAAAATCATTTCTTTTACCGTTATTAGCCAACCAAATCTCCTCCGAAAAATCAAAAGGTGAGTTTTATTTTGTAATGTTAAAATATTATTCTTTTTTATTAAAAATAATGATTAATATTTAGCATAGGTTTGTAAGTCGCTACTTACGTATGTACCTAACCTTTGACAAAGTCAAAGTCAAAATCATTTATTTCAATTAGACCAGGGAGGCACCTTTGACGTGTTTGGATGTCATGTGTATGTGATATTGTACGTTTGTAAACGCACCCACGACACAGCAAAAAATTATAGCGTGAGGCAACGTTTTTTTTTTTAAAAAAATACATAGGTATTGCTTACGTTTGTTTCAGGAAGAAAAACAAAAGTCAGAAAAGCCGTAAGCAATTTCAAGAATATTGAAAAGAATAATGTATCTTTTTGTTTAAACAACATTCTTTTCGTTATTCCACTTTTGAAATGAAACGTAATTTTCAGGCTACCAACATTAATGTCGGCTCCTCGAGGAATCATAACTTACGCCAAGAGAAGATCTATAAATAAGTATTCACAATAAAAATACAACTTAATTGTTATGTGATATAAGGTTGTTTTCTCGGTAAAGAGTAATTTGTATTCAATTTATTTACCTATGTAAGAAATTATTTGCAAAGAAAATACGACTTTTATTCAAGTTTCTGTTTACAATATAGGTACAATAACAAAATTAAGATTTTGTTATATCTATTCACATAATACTTTTTATATAAAATAAGTAACTAAGACAACTTTGATAGCGTTCGTAAGTAATGTTAAATCTATTATATTTTACTCTTTGCATGTGTACATACTTGAACATACATAATTAAGTGAATATTGTAATCCTTTCTCATATTTACTATAGCATATTTTATAAAATGAAATGAATATATATGTGCATAAATATCCAGACTTAGACAAATAATATTCGAAATTATTGAAAAACGTTTACCTAACTTACAGTCAACTCACAAAGGCAGTTTTATTACTCAATTCATAATTTTCAATAATAAAGTCAATAGTTTAACATATTTTAATTATACGTACACAAACAAATATTCACGACATAGATATTATGTGTAATTATTAATGTAAAATCAATTAATCTGCTTTATTTTACAGTCATAACCATAAGGTAATTAATCAATTTATATTTTTTTAACATAATCATGGACATGGACTATATGAATGAATAGAAAAAATAAAATAATCAATGTATGTTCGTATCTGAAATTGACAGTAACATACGACTTCTACTTCGTCAATACCATTAATAGAATTTATGTAATTCTACATTAAATCTCCTGACCGATTTCGATCATGGTGGCCAATCTGTCTAACTAGACTAGCCCACTGCGCAGGAGATATTATAGTGCACTAGTGTTTGCGCAAACACAGATACACTATCAGAATGCCAAGCACGAAAAACTATCGCATTCGTAACGTAATAGTATCGAGCGCGTTCGGAGCTCTGATTGGCCGGCTCAAGTGAACCAACCAATCAGAACGCTTAACTCGCTCGATACTGTTACGATACGAATGCGATAGTTATTCGTGCTTGGCCCTCTGTTCCCTCACTCTCTGAACCCGATGGGACGGGAGACGCTACGACCGGAGAAATGGTCAGACATAGGACCAAAGGCTTAACGTGCTTTCCGACGCACAGAGTGAAACACCACTGAACTTCGAGACTCCAGGCTAATAATGGTCACTTTACTCAGAAAATTCCATTGTCACTTTTCGACCTGAATCTATATTCTGCAGTAGCATAATGATTATCTCTTATTATCATGTTTACAATACATCTCCAGAGTGAGAAACCTATGTTTTTAATTGTTGATAATATGATAAAGTAGATTATAGGTATAATACAAACATGTCATAATGATTCCAGATTGTTCTGCAGAAACTTCGAGGTTCTCAGGTGTCAGACAAATATAGGAAGAGAAAGTAATTGTTTTAAAGCATTTTTATATTATTTAATTCGTGAGATCTTGTTAAAATTAAAAAAGTACTCTTAACCGACGAGCATGCTTTAAAAGACATGAAAAGATTGATGATTGTTGATGAAGCGAGAGAGGTACATAGTATGAATCGTAGCAATTGGCATTCCATAGTCTCTGCCCACCGCCATGGGAGACAGGCGTGAGGTTATGTATACAAAGACATAAATATGTAGGTACATGTGTGGGATCTTGTTGTTTTATTAACATTTTTGTTTTTATTACTAATACTGCCTCGTTGACCGAGTTGTCGCAAGTGCGACTGCCGGGCAAGGGGTCTCAGGTTCGATTCTCGGGTCGGGCAAAGTATTACTGGGTTTTTAAAAATTCTCAGTAGTTGCACGGAGCCTGGAATTGTGCTCGGTATATGGCAATAGGCTTATCCTGCAATTATCTATTACATGGGACTCATAACATAAATAGTGAAAAGTGGGTAAATTGCACAGTGGCATAATGTACACCTCTGTCTACCCCTTCGGGGATAAAAGGCATGATGTTATATTATTTTATATTACTAATAATATGAAATATTATGTGTTATTTTAATTATTATCTTTACCAGTTATAGAGCGGTTATCATAATTTGGACAATTATAATTTAATAATCATTAGTATTAGGATGAACAAATAGATGTACTAAATAATATTGTAATCTTTATTATTTCCAGACCCAATCGAAATAATAAAAGCTATGCCGTAAGTATTGTTTCATAAATGGACGTTTATTAATTAGCCTACTGATTTAAATAAAACAAGAAAGTAACAGAGATTTTGAATCTAAATACGTATATGTAAATGCAGTTACGTTGCAATTCTATAAAATATATTTAATTATCCTATGTATTTGCCAAAATCAAATATCTAATAGTAGGGGAGCCCATGAAGGGATTTCGGTAGTTACTCGAGCGCGTCAGATTAACATATGGGGAAAACCTAGTGTCATGTTGAATATACCCAACATATATCCGATCTGATTAGAAGGAAAATTTAATATGAAATATTATGTGTTATTTTAATTATTATCTTTACCAGTTATAGAGCGGTTATCATAATTTGGACAATTTTAATTAAAAAACATTAGTATCAGGATGAATGGATAGATTTACGAAATAATATTGTAATCTTTATTATTTCCAGACCCAATCGAAATAATAAAAGCTATGCCGTAAGTATTGTTTCATAAATGGACGTTTATTAAATAACCTTCTGATTTAAATAAAAGAAGATAGTAACAGAGATTTTGAATCTAAATACGTATATAAATGCAGTTACGGTACAATTCTACCTAAAATACGTAGGTACCTAAAATATAGTATGTTTAATTATTCTATTTATTTACCAAAACAAATTTACCTTATCGAGTAAATCTTATCAAGTCCTAGTTAAATCAATTTATTTAAATAAGACTAGGAAGGCACTTTTAAACATCAAACAATAAACATTTAAAAGTCAGTCTCGCGGTCTGTCCTCTAGGGAAGCTATTGACACATTCTAAGGTGTAGATTCCTATGGAGACAAACGAGCAAGAAACTCCATTGGTTAAGGTGATATCAGACGATTCGTTTTTGTCTTTCATTCGGCATCTTTCACTCACAGTAATACGTCTATACTCAGAATGAATTAAATTACCAATGTGACTTTTTCCATGTTATATGTACTTTCTAAGATTATTTAGACACCACTGACCAACGGCGAAGGAAAACATCGTGAGGAAACCTAGGCTTATAATTTCTAATTATAAGTTTAAAATAACCAACCCGCATTGAGCAAGTGTGGTGATTAGTACTCAAACCTTCTCCGTGTGAGAAGAGGCTTTGCTCAAAAGTGGGCATTTATAGGCTGTTGATGATGAGACGTTATATTTTTGTCTTTTATTCGGCATCTATCACTCACAATGATACGTCTGTACTCAGAATGAAAACTAGAGTGCAGAATAAATTCATTAGTGAACCGATCCAAGGATGTTGGACTTTGGCATTCGATAAAGATTTGTTTTTTTATGGTATAGGCATCATGCAGCCGGATCACCTGATGGTAAGCAATCGTCGCCGCCCATGGACACTTGAAACACCGAAGCGTTTCAAGTGCGTTACCGGCCTTTTGGGAATTGGGAATTTGAGGATTGTGGAGGATTCGGGAATTGGGCAGACTGGGGAGGGGGCCTAATGTAACCTCCCTCACACGACGAAACACAACAATCGTTGTTTCACGTCTGTTTTCTGTGAGGCCGTAGTATCACTCTGGTCGAGCCGGCCCATGCATCCCGAAGCATAGCTCTCCCACACTTTATAGTATATAGATATAGATAAAGATTGCTTTATTTGCCAAAACATGTGTAGGTAAATAATACATGCAAAAATGAATGTTTACTAGATCTATAGTATTGTTTGTATCAACATGCTTAACCATGGCTGGTGTACAAATATTAATTAATTTTGTTATAAATCTCCAAGTAAATGTCAAGATGAACTAATAATGTCAATAACAGTGAAATAATGAAGTTAATAGAAATAAGTCATAAGAAACAAATAGGATAGAATAATTACATATTTTTAAGTGTTACAATTTATATATCATTACGTTCAATCATTCAAACACATCTAAGAAATTCATTAACATTATGATATATGATTCACTCACTTGGAATGAACAAAAACTGAACTGTCTGCACACATAGTGAATATTTACTCGGATTAGATTAAATGATCACATATTAAAGTGATGCCGAGACGCACGACATCACTTGATGACATATTTTAAATACATTGAATGACCTTAACTCTTTCTAATTCTTACTAATATTATAAATCGGAAAGTGAGTTTGTTTGTTTGTTTGTTCCGCTTTCACGCCGTAATTACTAAACCGATTGCTTTGAATTTTTGCAGATGTATGGTTAGAAGTCCGGATTAAATAATAGGGTACTTTTTATCCCAGAAAATTTTGACAATCCCGAGGGAAAACAAAAGTATTGGTATAGATGGCGCTGTGTGTATTGGTATATGTCACATTGGCTTTTTATCCTTTTGTGACGCGAGCGAAGCCGCGGGTAAAAGCTAGTTTAAAATAACAGAGAATCGATGCAATATAAAATATTATAATTACCTTCTATTTTCTACTTCTATCCCATATCAAACTTTATATTGTTTCTATCCCTTCCTAACAATTCATATATGTACATATATACAAACTTGTATTTCAGTACGTGTACCTAGACTTAGAACAGTTAGAAAACGTCATAAAAAAATATAGACGGCAACATGATGAAGTATCAAGTGAAACCAATATTGCTTACCTGAAGGATATACCGTTTGATGATCCCGCCGTCAGCTCTGATGATGATGATGACGATGATGCGACACCTAAACAAGTCAACACGAAACCTGGCTCTAAACAGAACTGGTTCCAAAATTCTGTGGTAAGGTTGTTCTTTTTATATATTATATATATTTGATGGGCCGACGTTTGATCACTATCTCGCCCTGTGATAAGCGATGAAGCGGTATACGATGGAGCACATCGTCCCATAAGCAACCTATTCACTCGGGCCTTGAAGACACCCAGGTTATACCCTCCAGGAAATACAGATTCTGGCAAAGAATTCCACTCCTTAACAGTACGGACAAGGAAGCTTAATGCGAAGCGCTTGGTGCGTGTGGGTGGGACATCTACCATGAATTGTATATTAAAAATACTTGGGCTTGCATTTTGTTCTATAAAGGTCGAAATCATTAACCGGTTTCAATCCAAAGTCTCCGAATCAATTTTTTGACAGATACTGACACTCCATGCAATAAAATAAAAAAAAAATACACTCGAATTGAGAACCTCCTCCTTCTTTTTGAAGTCGCTTGAAAAAGCTATCTTTATCTATAGGTATTGTGATTTTGGGATTGGTTCTTTATCATAACCGTTAGAGTTTATGAGTGTTAAACTTAGGTATACAATTTCTGACTAGATTTATAATTTCAGACTAGAATATCCGTGAATTTTATATCGAAAAGTCTTATTAAGATACGTATTTGGTATTCATTAACATTTAATTTTATCAAAGTTCTTTTCACAATAAAAAAAAATTGTTTTCAGCACACATACAACCATATAAAAATAAGTCCAGATGCTCCAGATTTTAAGGACTTTATGCCTCTGACCAAAGTAGCTCAAAATGGGAGTCAATGGTGGTTTTATAACCAAGTAATTTGTGTTTAAATATTATTCATTTAGTTACTACATTCTTTTCTTACATAAGTATCTTCAAATACTAACAAACCCAACATAAAAGGCTTATCGAAATCGGTTCAGCTTTTCTCAAGATTTGAGCTTAGGAAAACATTTAGCGATTCCTTTTTAAATTATACACTGGATACCTTTGCTTATTTATTTAACATTAATCTCTGTTAGAACAGTAGTTACACTCCAGACATAAAAAGTATTTTTTTTTTTGTTATATGTACTTATTAAGCCAAGAACGCTTTCCTATTTTTGTTGTAGTACAGAGCCAATATAATTTAAGTTAAGCGATTTATTCATGTCTATAAGAAGAGGTTTATGTCAGCAGGTACACAATTATAATATACTTATATATGTAGCGATGAAGAATATAGCTTTAAAAATATCTACTAACGCACCTTACGCACGCACCAATCATTAAAGCACCTTATAATGTAATTTTCATTTTCAGGCTGATCACACTATATTGACAGACAGAAGGAAACATGTACGAAATGAATAAAGTATTTTATATCTGTCTATGAATTTTATTTCCATATAAATCGTGATTTAATCAGTTTAAGTTCACAATCGATTATGACTATTTAACTCTTTCAGTCTTGGTGATCACTGTATTTAACCACCTTTTCTTAGAAATTCATTTTTTGAAGTATGCTTCAAATTTGTTTGCATTGGTTTTTAAGCATTTCAGTTTAATTAAATAAAATATATTCGAGACCAGTTAAAAGTGTTACTGAAAGAGTTGAGTTGAAGTAATGACAGTTAACAAATAGGCCCGTCCACACGCTCTTGACGCCATGTTTGCTACAAATGCCAGACACAACAAATAAAGTTCCAAACATGTGATGTGATGTTAACATGTTCGATGTGCAGCAAAACATGTGGAAACACAGCAAACTGTTTGCCGAACAGCCTTTGATCTGCGTTTGTGCTCACCACTGTTCGACACCGATGCTGAGGCGAACACAAACAAGAACAGGCATACACATATAAACACCCTCCTAAATGTTCGTATTTGTTGTTTGATATTGTTTGGGAAGCATATTGTGGTCCCGGCATTACATGTCAACCTAGCCTTAAATCAACTACGATTGTCAGAACTTGTAATTTCATTTTTCCACGAAGGACTTAACTGGTTGCCAGGGCTCTGACTCGAAGTGCAGGAGTAGGAAAGGAGTGGTTTTTAGTCAGTAAGAGTTTGATACTCCCTCTCGCCTCACATGGGCGGGAGAAGTCATTCGATGATTTTTCTCCCGACTTTAATTTTACATTCAAACAAAATTAAAAACTAGTTTGTATTGTAACTTTCGTGAGACATACTAAATAAATTATTATGTTTTCGGCTTACTCACGTAGTAATTCGACGAGGAACTCGACTAGTTTCAAGCCATGCTAGAGGCTCATATTCATGAGCAGCATTTCGGTCTAGTCTAGTCGAGTTCCTCGTCGATTTTTTTTTTTTTAACGTTGCCCCACACTAGGATTTTCTCCTGTGTCGTAGATGCGTTTACAAACATACAAGTTCACATACACAATGACACCTAGACCCGAAACAACAATTTGTGGATCACACAAAGTGTTGTCCCGTGCGGGAATCGAACCCGCGACACGTTGCACGGCAGCCGGTTGCCCAGCCACCGCACCAACCGTGCAGTCATTGTATAATTATAATATATAATTATAATAATTACTACGTGAGTAAGCCGAAATCATAATAATTTAAAAACTAGTTATGTAAAAATGTATATTCATTAAAAACATTCCTTTTTCCGTCACCCTTTTAAAGAGAATCAACCATAAACCATAACAGTCCATCAGCTAAAGGGTTCTCGTTTTGTTTCGTCAAAGTTCGTCGAAGGTATAAAATAACACCCGGGGGAATGGCCGTAGCGTCTCGGAACTTGCCTCATGCACTATTCATGACTACCTTACCGCGCTCTATTTTAGAGCAGGCCGGAACGTAAATTTAGTGACTTACGGCCATTTTAAATGTATCATATACATATAGTTTTTCTAGTTTTTTCTGTACCTACATAGATTGTTAAGACTATGTATGGTTTAGGAATTCTTGGAAAGAAGTAGTGTTAATGATAACTTAAAATATTTATTTCTACATTTTGGAATGAGCACCTAGCTTCACCTAATGTACTGACGGACCGACAGACTATTATTTATTTTGTATTTGTTGACGTTTCAAAAGTACCAAACTATGGTTTAATTGAAATAAAGGCTGTGACTTTGACTTTGAAAAAATATTAATTTAAAATATTTTTCTAAGTAGTCTCGTTTCCTTCGAGTGGTATATTAGGAGGTAAATTAAAGTACTTTGAAAAATATTAGAAGTCCCAAATACAATTTCTGAGAGACGTAGTATTGGGAATAGTATTACAATTGTAATTTCACTAAAATGTTTTACAGTAAAGTTTGTATTGTGAGGTTCTTTTTCAGGACCTTTAGTGTTCGTAATTTAAACTATCAAACACCAAGCGGTCACCGGTGACCGCAACCTATTGTTCTATAATTGTGTCTACAAAACCGGTACTCGACGAGTTAAAATACCAAACGTATTCTATTATACTCTTAGTGTTATGCAATTATTATCTTAGACATTCAATCAAAACTTTTGCAATTATGACGAAGGACTAAAGACTGTCAGGCAAGGGGTCTCGGGTTCGATTCCCGGGTCGAGCAAAGTAGTACTGGGTTTGTAAAAACCTCAGTAGTAGCTCGGAGTCTGGAAATGTGCCCGGTATATGGCAATAGGCTCACACCCTATTACATGGGACTCATAACATAAATAGTGAAAAGTGGGTGTTACATTGTACAGTGGCATTAAGTGCCGTAATGTGCACCTCTGCCTACCCCTTCGGGGATAAAAGGCGTGATGTTATGTTATGTTATGTTATATT